CTATGTGAGATTCAGACAAACCTGGCTTCTAAAAGACCAGCAATTGTCTTGCTTCATGCCCAAGAGACGACTGCCTATGGCTCCTCCAAATTTTAAAATGCAATAGTCTCAAAGGAGGTCGAAAGTCAAGAGTGACGTCTTTCCAAGATCCAAGTAGTGGTCATCCACACGAGCGAGTGACTCCATCCCGTGTTGTTCGGGCAGACGTCGATGAATTCCAGCGCTCACTCATAAATCACAAACCGAAACCCACCCCTAGGAACCTTCAACCTCCGAATCGGCAACTCCTGCTGCGCCGAAGCCATCCACTCCCTCTTCTCCTCTCCAGTCTTAGGATCATACTGCACGAACGCCAGCCTCGCGTTCCGAGAAGAAGTAACACTCCTCATGATCTCAGCAACCGTAAGGTTCGGGACCTGCAGCACGCGCCAATGCCGCTGCTTGCTAGTCCGGATCCTGATCTCAATCAAGTCGTTGGGGATGAGAACGGTATCTTCGTGGCGATTATAGCTCGGCTTTCCGGGAATGGCCGCAATGCGTGCGTGGTGACTTGGATATGTCTCTTGATGTGAAGTTCTTGGGCTAGAAGACGAGGCGCGTTGTTGGACTCGATCCGGCGTAGCGCTCCTGCTGCGTCTTCTAGACAAATAATCTTCCGGCAGTCGTGCAGGTCGGCTTGGCACAGGTCCCGGGCCTACACTACTTGATGTAACTGATGTATTCAGAAGAAGGACTATCTACGGAAAGTCCAAAGATGAAGTGCAGCAGTTGCAGCCTCAGGCATCAGGCACGTGATGGACCCTGACACCTGGACATATACTCCAAGTTACCCCCTCAGTACGTGCATATCGCTATAGAATAAAATAAACACATTAGCCATTCAGTTAGCAAAGCAAACAGGGGTATTAGGTAAGCAGAAACAGGTAAACAAACTAGACCACTCTTAGGTTAAACAGACAAAGCAAACAAAGGCCCTTTTTTCTTAGTACTTAGCAGCTAGCTTTATAGCGCTCTTAATAGCGGCCTTGCAATCCACTAGGTTCAGTTGTTTAACAAAGCGGCCGTACTTAATCTTGTTAAGCGGCTTAGTAAAGCTATCGGCTATCTAATTATATATACTAACCTATTAGACGATAATAGTACTATTAGTAATCTTCTCTCGAATATAGTAAACACGAGTATCTATATGCTTCGTACGGCTATTAATGCTAGTCGACTTAGTAATAGCAATAGCGGACTAATTGTTCTCGTAGAGCGTAACTAGAAGAATATAGCCCTTATAGCTAATTTCCTTTAATAAGCGAGCTAAGGTAACTGCTTCCTTAGCCCCTATAGTAAGTTGAATATACTTAGCTTTAGTTAATAACAGTGTAACGAGTGTCTAGCGGCCGGACTTATACAATAGAGGTCCGCCTGCAATAGTAAAGTAGAAGCTGCCTATAGAGCGGCGGGTAACTAGATCGTTAGCCTATAAGGCATTATAGTATCTAGCAAAATTGAGCTTATCGTTCTATATGCCTTAGAAGCGCATACTACGACTAAGGGTACTAACTAGGTACTTAATTAGCTAAAGGAGTGCGGTATAATGCTCTTTAGTAGGGTTAGAGATAAATCGTAACAATAGGCCTATAGTATAGCAAGTATTAGGTCGCGTAATTATAGCTAGCTATAGTGCCTTACTAATACCTTCTTAATACTGAGTCTTAAAGGCGGCACTAGCTATATAGCCCTTAGGTGCGCGTTAAATAGACGTCTTAACATAGCGAGGCGCTATTAGAGTAGCTAGACCGACACGGCTACGTATACTATATTTCTTACTAAGCCTATTCAAATAGGCATCTTAAACGACGTGAATAGTACGCTAACCGCGGTTACGGATAATCCGCATGCCGAGATAGTAGTATAGGTCGCCTAGTTCTCGTATATTAAAACGGTCCTTTAGCAACTAAGCTACTGCCTCTAGTGCTAATAGAGTATAGGCGATAATAATTATGTCGTCGATATAGATAACAATAATAGAGCCGCTAACAACGTATTTAAACATACACATATCAGCTATTATTGGCACAAAGTCTAGGCTCTTTAGGTACTTTCGAAGCTCTTCGTACTATAGTATTAGCGACTATTTCAGACTATATAGTGCCTTTAGCAATAGGCAAACTATGCCCTTTCTACTACGGTCCTTAAAACCGTATAGCTGTTCGACGTAGATCTTATGCTTATTACCGATAAGCGCATTAAGGAAGGCCGTTAGAATATCATACTGCTTAGCCTCTAGGTCGTAATAAGCGATTAGTACAAATAGCGCTCGCAGCGTAGACGGCTTAGCTATAGCCGCATAGGTCTTATTATAGTCCTGTCCTTTAACCTATATAAAACTACGGACGACCTATCGAGCCTTAAACCGGCTTACCTTGCTATTAGCGTTACGCTTAATAGTAAACACCTATCGGCTACGGACAACCTTGCGACCTTCTAGCACCTCTAACCGAGATATATAGACCTATATATAGTTGTCGATTAGTAACTTGTATTTAGCCTTATAGGCCTCCTTCTATTATAGCTAGTATAGCGACTAAGTCGCCTCCTTGTAGCTCTTTAGAATAGGAATAGTGTCTCTATCTAACTGTTTAGCAATATAACAGGAAGCTATAAAACCCTTAATATAGGCTATCGGCATGTTGGCTATTATACGTCGAGTTAACCGCTTAACACTACAATTAGCTAGATAGCTACGCAATAGGTTACGAGCTAACTTGTTGCTACGGGTTGCACGGGTAGAACGAGCGCCTATCGTATTAGGTCGCTCAAACTTAGGCAACTAGCCTGGCTCGCCCTTCTTAGCGTTTAGATTATATGCTAGCTCTTCCTCGGCTAACTAAAAGCTATCTTTATTACTTAAAGCTAGTAGTTGAACGTCTAGCAGGTTATCGTCGAGTAGCAACGGACTAGCGACCTTATTAGTTACCTCTATATCCTAAGCAGGCTCGTCTAGAGGCTCTTCTTGCTAGGCTAGAAGCTGCTAGACTATACTAGCGGCGTCGGCTAGTAACGGAGCCTCGTTGCTTATAGAATTGAATAGAGCCGGCATAATGGACTCGAGTATAACAAACTCGTTCTTAGCTAGGTCGTTAGGATTAGCGTATAGATTCATGCCCTCTAGAAGCAATAGCTTACTAGCCGTCTTAATAAATTAGACATCCTTTAATAGAATAACCTTATGCTAGTTAGGGAGGTAAATCATATATTTTCCTAAGTCTACTAAGTCCTTAGTATAGCCGACTAGCTTGCTAACAAGGCCTCTGCTATCTATCTTCTTTCTACGAGTAACTCCGTAATTATATGCAACAGTAGTACAGCTATAGGCACGAAGATGTTAAAGGCGTAGCTGCTTTCGAGACTAATTGAGCTCCCTAGCTACAATAGCATAGGGGCTAAGACCTTCTAAGGTTCTAGGAGTGATATTAAGGACCTATATAGCAGTAGTAACTACATACGGCTATAGGGCCTTTAGCAAATTCGTATAGAGCATTATCTTCCGAGCGGTCGTACACACGATATAATTGCTAACCTTAGCTAGGCTATTCTAAGTAGAAGAATAAGGTGCTGTAACCTGCAGTACAATGCCCTAATTACGAGCCTAGCTTAATAGCTAATTTCCGCCGTACTTACCCCCTCTATCGAGGCGGTAGATTGGGATTAAATAGCTAGTTTATATACGGACGTATATACGGTAGTCCTTAATTGCTACTACAGCTCCTAACTTTAGCGAGCTAGCATATTCGTATCGATAGGCTAATTTAGCGCATATAAACAACGTAAAGTAGCGTTCTTATAGTAGACTAGGGTTAGTAATAGTAACCACATCTACACAGATAATATAGTAAATAGTAGATAGTCGTAGTCGTAGTAGTCGGTTGTATTCCTTATATAACATTGCTATACGACAAGCGATACAGTTTCGGAAGTCGGTCTTGTTTCTAGTAATAATAATCTAACCCTTAGCTTCTATTCGTAACAGCTTGCGGTAATAGATATAGCTATATCGTAGATGCTACTCTTCTATCGTACCTATTAGCACCCCCTTCTTCGATAGAAGCGTAACAACCTAGCCGTTAGGACTAGAGGTTAGTGTATATAGATAGGGGAGACCATTCTTTCGGTATGTCTAAGCAATAGTAACCTCCGAGCCGTTAATAATAGTAAACAGTATACGCTTATCGTTCCGATAGAAACATCCCTTATCGGCAAGCTTCTTAGTAGATAGGAGGTTAGCTACTAGACCTAGCATATACAGTATATTAGACAACTTTATACTGCTTACACTACGCTTATTAACTACCTTAGTCTAAGCCATTCCGACTATCGTAGCGTGCTTCGTGTTGCTACCAAATCGGATAGGAATGTAACAGCCTTTATATTTAATAAGCAATAAAGGGTCGTTAACTATATACATACTAGTACCTAAGTCGACAACCTAATTAGTAGTACGAGTGCTAGCAGTAAGAGCCGTAGAAACCTAGTCGCTAACAGTAACTATAGTGTTTGCAGTAAAGGCGTAATTGTGGCTTAGGTCTAATAATACCCCCGGGGTAGCATTAGCCGTATATAGCCCCTAAGCACTATTCTAACTAGATAGCGGTTGTTGCTATGCAGTTAGTCTACGCTGCTACTGTTGCTGCTGCACCCCCTTCTTCTTAGCCTTCTACTGTTTACGACGCAGTCGGTCTTCCTCCTTTAGATAAGGGTACTTAGTATAGTAGCGGTTAGAAGGGTATAACCCCTAACAATAGGCGCACTTCTTACGGTTAGACTAATAACTATTCTAGTTCTAGTTGCTTCTACCGCGGCCTCGACTATTGTTATTGTTTCCGCGGCTACTACGACCGCTACGGTTCGAGTTACCTCGACCGTTGTTATTGCTATTGCTACCTTGCTATTATAGTTAGCGCTAAAGACTAAAGAAGCCGTTATATTAGGCCTAGTTTAATTAAGCTACATTCTTATTAAGCAACGCGCTAATAATGTTGTTAAGTGTATTATCGTTAATAGTGTACTCGGAGGCGCGCATCTGCTCTCGGCGTATCTATACGAAAGCCTCGTAGAATAGAGAGATCTATATAATAAATATATAAATAGCCTAATATTAGCTAATAGCTAATTTAGTATCCTTTAAGGCACTAAGCTTCTTCTTATACTTATTGTAGAACTTCTTAATGTCCTTGCTATTATACCGAAGGGTGATATATTCCTAGTAGAGTATAAATTTAGTAGACCTACCTTTACTAGTGTATTTCTTATATAGGTAAGTCTATACTTCCTACGATATAGCGAGACTAAGTAACGACTACTAAACCTCGGCGATACAGTTAGTAAAGATCCACGTACGCGCTAATTAATCTTTTGCTTCCTATTTATCTTATCGGTCTTTAAACTCTAACTAAGTTTTAGAAGACAACTTAATATTAGGCTTTAGGCGGGTCCCTTAGATATAGCGCTATACCTGTATGCCTTTAAGGGCACCCTTAGCGGTATAAGACTATAATAGATAATTCTCCTTATTCTTTAGCTTAGGGATGTTGCTTATATAAGCGCTAGCAGAAGTTATAGGAGAAGCTATTATAGACAGCGACAGCGATAATATAGAAAGAGACTTTAGACCTATCTTAAGAGGCGGCCGATAGGCGCGCCTGTATTCTAGTATAGCGGACAGCTAACACTGTTGTTATGTGACCGACTCGAGTCGGACTAGCACCTGCTAGAACACTCGAAGGGCGGCGAGGGTAGCGGCGACGATAATAGTATCGGCGCAATTTTTAGTAACGAGCGCTGTCTACGTAGCAGTCGGATTAACTATTAGAAAACGTGTAGAATGCGTTGGAAACGCAGGGGGCTCATAACCACTTAATGTAACTGATGTATTCAGAAGAAGGACTATCTACGGAAAGTCCAAAGATGAAGTGCAGCAGTTGCAGCCTCAGGCATCAGGCACGTGATGGACCCTGACACCTGGACACACACTCCAAGTACACTTGATCGCTTCGAAGCAGGAGGGGTTGGTGTATACTCCCAGACGCTCGCTCTAGGATCAAACGCAACACTCTTCTTCGGTGATGTGGGTCTGCTGGCGGACATAATAATTCGTGGTAGTGCGATGAAGATCAAAAGAACATATGGAAAATCCTGCCACGTTGTTTGTGAGGATTGGTTAGGTACCTATAGATGTATGACATACTCGCATGACATCGAGCGTTCGTCATTCGTTCTAGCGCCGCAGAAGGCCGACCGGGTTGACTTCTAAACCGCCACGCCTAAGCCCGTTCAAGTACAAGTCTCTCGGCACCAAGATTTTGGGTCGCGTCCATACTCCATAGGCGTGTGTTCCAAGATGGTTGTCGAGCTTTCCTTGCAGAGCTCGCTCCAAGGCCAAGGAGGGGCTCAGTCAGCGGGACAGGTTCGTGACAAATGTATATCTTGGTGCTTGGGTGTCGCCGTTCTTTCCGATCCTGGAGTGCTTCGCCCCAATGCCGGATGTTCCGCCAAGAGTTCAAGATGTTTTCTGTGAGTACTGTATGCAGATGTTGTGACGTCGACTGGAGTGTACAAAGGATGAGTGCGAGTAAACTGGCGGGTCGTCTTGGTGCTGTATGCTTATGTTCGAGCTGAGCAGGCAAACTTAGCGTGCTTTCAGCAAGAGATTCTGTTCTGGTTGGCAGTGGCACTTCTGGTCGTCATGGCTTTCACTTGATGGTGCATCAGTGGCAGGTCCATCGTCCTCTCCAACGCGCAGTAAATCGAAAATCGAAAAGCTCGCGTTGTCCCCACTCAATGCTTCATGAGGCGCTTGTGCACTTGTCCACAGCCTGAGTACACATTTTTGCTTGTCCCGACCCTAGAAATGGTCTCTGTTTGATTCCGCGATAGCGCGCTGAAGGTTCCTAGCCGCTGAGAAAAGCAGAGAATGGGTTGCGCACAAGGCGACTGGTCTCAGAATCTCTATCATCAAGGCAGTGCTATGCGCTATCTGCAGATGCTTAAATGCTCACGAACGTAGCAGTCCATCCAAATCTGATTGTGCACATAAACCCATTCTCATTTGCGTGCGCCGTGACTCCGTGCCTGGACTTTTCAAAAAAAGGACCTCTAAAAGGGTATCCGCGCTGTCCTTACGCTCCTGTTCCTCGTGTGAAAGCAATGCTAAACGGATCTGCTCACTGAATCTTCTTAATGGCTTCAGGAGGTCCGTAACTTCGGTCGTCCACGCCTTCGACCTCTGCGACCATCTTCTCCATCTCTTTCGTCTGTCTCTTCCACTCCTCTTCGCTCATCTTCTCCTCCCTTTTAAACAGCTCCTCATTCGGCTTTCGGTAGCTGCCGCCGAGGCGGTCCCATAGGGTGGTGAATTGGCCGTAGTTGTAGTTGAAGTACAGATGGTGCATTGTGTGGCATGCGGCACCGTTGATGATGGGCGAGTTGGCCACGTATTCTCCATCGTGAATCATGACGGTCCAGATTTGGATGAAGGTGAAGAGTGCGATGTATGCGAATTTCTGGAGCGGGAAGATGAAGGGGAATAGGTGGTATGGCACGCTCTGGCTGTAGCCATCGAGAGGGTGGAAAGCGTGCGAGGCGTATGGGGTTGGCATGATCCACTTATGGTGTGGCTTGTGGAGGCGCTTGTATACGAGTGGGTGGTGCAGACCACGGTGGATCCAGTAGATGCAGAAGTCGGTGAACATGAGGAAGAGCGGGAACTGCAGCCAGTTGTACCAGGCGCCGAGAGATTCGAGCAGTGGGTGCGAGAAACCGGGGTTGCTGACGCTGTCATAGATGAAGGAGTATCCTCTCACCTCAGCAAGGAAGAAAGGCACGGTAAAGATAGCCATGATCGGGATGGACTCCATAGTCTGTCGGATTTCCATGCGCATCTGGTTTTTGAGGTATTTGGGATGCTGGAAAGTGGTCTTGTCGAATACGAAGATATAGCTCAGCGTCGCGCAGAAGAAGTATATGAAGAGACCGAAGATCCTATCGACTATCAGCGTCGTCGTGTACGATGAATCACTTTTGAAGCACTAACCATGTGAGAATGTATAAGCTCACAAACTGGCGGTAGATGTTATCTCGGTCCCAGCGGCTCATGTATGCGTACTCGCTGGGTTGTACAGAGAAGTAGGCGCTTGCTGGCTCGAATTGCCATGCTGATCGCGCAAAGACAGCTTGAGTGGCATCTGCGAATGTGGCATTGTGTTCGGCGAAGCCCTTCAGACTGGCGGCGATTGTCGAGACAGGGTCGAAGGAGGATGCTGAGCGATGTATAGGGAGAACATTCGCGTACATGCGATCGAAGAGGAAGGTGTCGAAGACCTCGAGGACGACGTCCATGTTGGTTTGGTGGTGGCTCGATGAGCTCTCAGGTCCAATCGGGAATGTCGCGCAACCCCTGCCTTGTCCAAGCCAATGCCTCGCACTCGCAGTCGCGGTGGTGTTTGCGTCGCGTTGGTGGTGCGTCAAGAAACTGGTATGGTCCAAAGCAGTAGTCGGTGTGAGGTAGGGAGTGCAGGCCAAGGGTAGGACTGGCAGAATTGATGAAGGAAAAGAAAAGACATACCGGCGGATGTTGCGGACTTACGCGCCTTGCCTGGCCTTGCCTTCAGAATCGAACCACTTTGCGACTTCAAATTGCTAAACAGAACGGTGGAGCGCAGGGAAATGCAGGGAAGCCGCTGCCTACAGCCGTTGGCCAATCAGAGAGTGATTTCAAAGCACGAGACCCTGAGCTGTACCCAATTCGGATTAGCGGCTGCACGTAGAGGAAGAGCTCTCCACTTCAGTCTTCTCACGCGTTTTGCAGACCTCAACCGAACAAACAACCGGACGACATCTCAAGATACAATCGCGGGCGGTCGTAAGATTCTGGGGGGAAAGCTGCCAATTGCGTATTGCCCAGATCATCTGATAAATCTACCCATCTCTCCTGAGAAGTGCGAAACGTACGACTTCGTGGGAATGTGTCCGCGGCATCTTGCTCGAAGTCGGCGTCTGCATCCTCAGAACTATCTGTACTGTAGCTGCGAAGGTTTGAGTAGCTTTTGAGACACCAGACTCTTGCGTCGTCAACAGCCTTCAGCGGTCTTGTTTCGTTCCACGTAAGTGGTAGAGAGCGTTGTGCTTGTGTTTGTGCTGTTCACTTCTCAGGAGAACGACGCGAACTGATTCTCATCCAAGCCTGCATTCCCACGAGCCTATCGCCACACAGCCGCGAAACAAATCGCCAAAATCCACAGCAACGTGACAGCCCCAGCTCCCGTGCTCGCAGCAGCAGCGCTCTCATACGCATCATTACATCCAATCCCCACAAGCTCCAGCTCCTGCCCAATACCATCTCGAACACATCGTCCAAAAGCCGTCTGGTCGCTGCCACTCAGTGGCTGACAGAAGTAGAAGCAGCCATCAAGCGAGCCGACGGTATGAGGTTCACAGCAATCTGTATGAATATCAATCAGTAAGAAGTAAGAAGCGTGGAGAGCTGCGCACCACAACACACCTGTTATGTTCGAGACGTAGATCTGCTCGCGCGAGTTGAACCCGCAAAGCGGTGCTTCGGCCTCGTTCCACCAGTCTGATTGGGATGTGTACGTGCTATTCAGGCCTTCTGAGATCGAGGGGCATACGCCTATTCTGGGGATCAGTCATTGTCCTCTCTGGCAAGGATTGATACAGTACCTGTATCTGCTTGCGCCATCGCTTCGAGGTGTAAAGGTGAAAGACTCGAAGATTTTCGGAACGGGAAGAGGAGGTTGTCGTCTGGTACCTACATTCTGAGATTTTGGCTTGCGGCTCATCAGTTCCTTGATCGTAGGATGGGGGCCCGCCTTTCTAGCATGGTTGTATGCCCCAGATGTGGATCTGTGAGGCCCGGTGCGAGGACGCCAAGACGTGTGGTCCACTTATTGCAAGGATGTTGCGCAACTTCATGCTTTACTTTTAGCTCAGGCTGTGCCGCAAATGCTTGGCGTGCTTCTGTACAGTATGACATCGAAAAGAGGTTGTGGTGCGGCTTTGGCAGATCAGAACAATGAAAGGACCGCGTGATGGGCTTCCCAGCAGGGCCGTGGTTCTTGCTGTTCGAGCCATCATGTGGGATGGGAAGGAGAAGTGAACAGGAAATTGCGAGCGCGAAGTCCAGGGACGAACGACCCGCCAGCGTGAATATGAAGCGCGGCTGCATTGTTGGCCTCTCCGCAAACAATAGTTCATCCTACGAAGGAATGCTAGCTCATTGCACATCACCGAGTGTGATTCGAGCTCCGTACGACAACCCAAGCATGAAGTCAGTACCGCCATCGAATTGACCATCGTGGAAGATATTGTGATACCTCTGCCAGCGTGAGTGAAAACCTGACTGCTGCCTCGCAAGAGCTCGTGGCATTGGCGCATCAGGTTGCTCCGAACGACCTTTTTCGCCAGGCCGAGTCGATGGCAAGATCCAAAAACACGACCATTTATTTCCATAGAGAACTGGAAACGCAGATTCCTGGCGAACACTCCAGATGCCGTACAAACGCCTTGGCTGTCTGTCCTAGCAGGACTTCCGAGGCGAAGCCAGCTCTTCCTGATACTGTGCCGCCAACATTGTGGATAGCAAATTTACTTTCGGCCATCCTACTTCCAAATCCGGACGCTGTTGTAGTGATCGAAGTAGTTCATCGGAACGTGACTCGAACATAAAAGAGGCCTGCTACCACCAGCACTCAAGTAGTATTCCATCACCACCATCAGCATCAAACCAGCCCAATGCCTCAATTTTTCCAAGTCCTGCGGGCTGCTACCGTGGCAAGCGCGCTCGCGCTGGTTTTTGCAAAGGCAGCGATCGCCGTGCCTTTCAAGGACTCCTCTTCCAACCATTCCATTCTCGAGGCACGCCAGGGCGACACCGCAACATGCCCACTCCAAGGCGACACGAAGCTTGTCGGCGATGGCGATCCTCATCAAACTTTCTACCACGAGCAGGTCTCGGTAAATTCGACCTTTCCCAACAACAACCAAAAACACTGCTGATTCCTCGTAGGACAAACTTGGTTGCGGAGATGGTGAATGTGCCATCACCAGTGAAGAGAGCTGGTCGATCAGCGTTGGTTTCAGTTCTGAGATCAGTTCGGCCGAGTGGATTGCCGGAGGCTTCTCTGTCGAAAAGGAGTACTCCAAGACCCAAGGATATTCCTGCTATGGCGTGGCCGGAGATGAAGTGTGCTTGTGGCAGATGGTGCAGCATACCGATGTGAGACATTGTGATTTCCCCGACAGTCGCACACACGCACTACTGACGAGCCATGCAGTACACTGTCCAAAACATCAAAGTCAATCCGTGCACACTTGCGGAGTCTGAGCCGGATGGTGACCCATTCGTCCTGAGTAGCCCTAACTCGGAACAGGGCAACTACTACTGTGTCCGCAATGCATGTCGGGAGAAGGGCGAGGGTCATTGGGAGGACCGTTCGAAGCCTGGCACGGCATGAAGTTCATGAAGAGCTTGTTTGGTCATGCTTCTTGTAGGAATGTTGGGAGAACAGGAACTCATCAGGAAATGCAGGCATGAAGGTTCCGGATTGGGAGGGACAATGGCGACTGCACTTGAAGCCAGAGAAGAGCCTTATAGAGCAGTTTTCGAAGATGCCATTCAACTCGTTCAGCGAGCAATAACGCTTCCCAGCTACGCTTCGTGGTGCGCGGCGCTGTCGTGGTATCATACATCGTGACCCCCATCGCGCTCCAACTCTGACTTCATTGCTTGCATTCTATTGTCGTCTCGAAGCGTTTCATGCTATGTCGTCGCGACGTCTGGCAGTCGCACTGCAATGTCGCCAGATTGTGTGATGTAGCGCACCCACGGCAGTGACGGGTATTGCAGCTTGGGTTCAATGATCTTCAGGTACCGCACCTGGATTCCCGATGTTGTGAAATATGGAATCTCGAATTTGACGTTGATCGGGCGCTTCGCCTAAGGAAAGATTAGCATCGCGTGAAGACATTCGAGTGTTGAGAAGATCCACTAACCTTTCCAGTCCCCCCAACACCACCCATACTACCACCAAAGCCTCCCATCATTCCACCACCTCGCTCTTCGTCGCCTTTCACTGAAGGTAATCCGAGTTCGGCACGCATCAAGAATTCTTTGCCGCCGCCGAACTGCTTGATCTTCCAAACTATGCTCGACGTCTCTGGCGCATAGTGTACAGATCCGATGTTTGTCCTGAATCGTGGAGTATCTGCATCATCTGGCACCGGAATGGAAATTTCGACATTGTTTGCTGTCGACCTCCGTTTGAACTGTGCTTTGGCCTTGAGCATATATTCAATGCGTGATCCAGAATGAGATTCGACGATGCATTCCACCCAGATCAAGGGCTTGACCTGTGTATTGAGACGATATGACATGAGTTCAAACTCGCCGTCGGGGGGAATGAAACTGATCGTGCGGTCGTTCTCGAATCTTGATAACCGCACGCATTGGTGAAATTTGACATCCTCCATCTCGACAGCCTTTCCTCTCGTTGCTCGTCCTGTTGTCTCAAACATAGCCTTGTCGTTTAAGCCTAACCGAAGTTCAGGCATACCAGAAAGATAGCACTTCATCTTGATAGCACCCAGAATTTCCGATCGTAAAACATTGCCAGTGCTTGACACCAACAAGTTGAGTGATTCGACCACATCCAAGAAGACCTCGTTCTTCCTGTATCGTATACCTTCACTTCTCCAGCTGACAGCATTAGTGACCGCAATAGGAGGTCGTGCCTGCACTTCCAATTTATGCGATTCTTGTGTGATATATTCCTGCAATATTTTGGTCTCTGTCGTTTGAGGATATCCAAAGTCCATCATCTCGTCCAGCAATTCGTAGATAACGACAAAGTTGTCTCGTATCGATTCCTCTTCAAGCTCTTTGAAGTATTCTGTGAACACCTCCACGATGCGATGTAAGAAGAGGAGTATTTCTGCAGCATTGCTGTTCTTCTTCGTAAGAGCCAGCAGGTAAAGGTTATTGTGTCGTATGTAGAGGTAATTTATGCCCTCGTCGGTGAAGCATGGCGGTACGCTCGAGGATTCTTCTTCGGCCTCTGATAGCAAGATTGGGAACTTTTCGACAGCGCTCATGGGAATGTCACCGCGGTAGTTGCGCGCCAAGAGCGTCTTGCCCTTCAGGTCCAGAAAGAAGATGGCGGAGGCCATATTGAGGGATGTGTGGGCTCAAGGCCCTGGATGATAAAGTAAGTGTTTCTCTTCACTCGGACTGAATCTGAATGTGAGAGTGGAGTCGTCAAAGTTCGTTGTCCGGGTATTGGATGGCAGTAGACACTACTTTCGAAGGAGGTGTTGTCTTGAACTCCATTGACAGCTTGCGGCGGAAGGAGCTAGGTCCGTGCTCATCTCCGCCGGTCTTGGCATTCGCGCTTCTTTGAACGGCATCTGGATGCCCAGCAGAGAGATTCACATACCGCTATGGCTTCTCAACTCTCATCGCGCGTGCGGCAGGTGCCATCTACAGGGGCACTGGCCGCACTGGAATCAGCTCTTGCCAGCTTTCGCATATCGTCAGCAGCACCATCGCACATCGGCCGACGACATGCTTCGCATCAAGCTCAGGGACGGGCCAATGGAGCCAAAGATGGTCCAGGAAAGCGATTAGGAGCGAAAAAGACTGGTGGTCAATATGTGGTGCCGGGCAATATTATATTCAAGCAGCGAGGCACGCTTTGGTTTCCAGGCGATAATACACACATGGTGGGAGAGACGGGCCGCTATGCATCTGCATTTTTACTGATGATTGGTAGGGTCGAGACCATACCATACACGCCAGCCAGGCTGGATATGTCACCTACTATCGCGATCCAGAGAAACATCCGAAGCGAAAATACATTGGCATAGTGTTTGAGCGCAACCAAACACTCCCGCAAGCACGGAACGAAGTGAGAAGACGAAGGCTTGGAATGCTTGCCTTCCAGAAGCCACCCACCGAATCAGAAATTCAAAGCGGAGAACAGCAATTCATGTCCTCGCCTGATGCAGAAGATTCGGCATCGCAACCCGCAACGATTATAAAAGATCGACCGAACGAGAGCAGAGATATCACAATAGTAAGAGGGAAAGGCAAAGACAAGCAGGAGATCAAACTTCACTTCCGACCTGGATATATGTACCGACAAGGAAATTGGGAAATTGGAAGAGCAGCTGAGAAAAGCAGAGCAGCCATGGCCGTAAAACCATTTAAACCAGGTGACAGATTTGCAGCGTGGAGAAAGAGGACAGCAAGGAGGATCAGAAGTGCTGAGAAGCGGGCGCTTGGTAGAGGAAAGGGCAAGAAGAAGTGAACGGACTTGTAAAAGATGGATATACCTTGTACTGATACCGCTTATCGATATGGCGAAATGTACATGGCACAACACTCTGGCAATCTCAGAGAACACACTAGGAAGTGGCGATGATGCTTCTTGTCACGCAAAGTCGTCGTGATCGCAGCACATGGTATCTGCAGGTCTGTTGATACCCAGGTGTATTTGCTATCATCGACAACACACGCACGGGTCATTCTGTGCTGCTTGGAGGGCACATTGGGACCAGCATGATGATCAGTCAGGCCATCATGGTTCGCGACCACGCGCGCTATTAACAGATAGCTAAATTGTAAGTACTCGGCTTCCTTTCACCGACACGATCCACGCAGATCGCCCACCAACCACGGAAGCTCCAAACACGATACTTCTCAAATCTGTCCGACTGTGAACAATCATGCTCTTCAAAGGGCTGGGCTTCGCCGTCTCCCTCGGCGCGCTTCCCTATTTGGCTAACGCCAAGGATGTGCCAGAGGTTTGCCATAAGCCTCTCGCCAATGCTCTCATCTGCCATGACAATGGCGTGGTAAGCCTTATGAACTCCCAGGCTGTAAAATTCTATTGACTTCGTCCAGTACGATTGCATTAAGGAAGAACGCCTCTATGTCTGTGGCGAGGGCTCCTGTTATTTCTTCCAGTCTGGTCCCAAGTGCGCTCCTCCTGGCTTTGATGCATTTGAACCTGGAGCACTTGACGATCTGGGCAATACCACGAGCAGCGACACTGTGAATGATTATCCCGGATTTGAAGAAGCACGCGGTGCACGCACAAGGACCACAACAAGCGAGAGCACCTCTAGCGCTTCTTGCACAGCTGATACTTCCACGGTCACTGTGATATCCTGGGTATCATGGAACAACAGTGTGTCTTCGAGCTCCTCTGCAGATTCATCTTCGGGCTCCGATGCCAAGTTTTTGAGCTCGAGAGCGACCTCTGCTTCGACTGCTCCAAGCACACTTACGACACTCTTGACCGTCAAAACGATGATCGGCCCCAGCAATTCTTCGGCATCTTCCTCGGAGACTACTAGCTCGTCATCTCTGAGTACTGCGGCTACCAAGAGATCTGTCCTTGGAGACACTTCCGGCCCAGAAGACAGTGTCGAGCTAAAGAACGGTATCGGTGTACGTAGTGGAAACACCACCGGAGATGCATACACCAACACGTCAAGCAGCTCATCATCCCCTGGGCCGTCACCTTACGGATCACATCTAATCAAGCACCTTGTCAATCCGGAGGTACTATCTGATATATTGGAGCCAGCAAACTGCGAAGGCGACAACTTCTATCCCACGATCTGTCATGAGCATGGAATTGTAGGCTACCCTCCATCTCACTTGCCTTTCTCAATTTCCTGACGTGTTTACAGTATGACTGCATTAACAAGAAGATGCTGGAGAAATGCGACGGCGGCGATTATGACTGTCAAACATTCATGTCCGGTGCTCGCTGCGTCCCACTATGGATCGGCGGCGAATATGCACCCATTAGGCCTACTTCGACCACTTCTGCTACCTCTGGATCCGTTACCTCAACAGCACCAGCAGGCAGTAGCACCTACTCGCCTCAACGACTCTGCAATGCTGCCAACGAGCCCGACGATCCCACGCTCAAACTTTACACAGATCCAGACGTCGAGACCGTGTGTGGTTCTGAATTTTCCACAGTCAGTACTCCTTATGCAACGTATATGGAACCATGCTGACTATGGATAGTTCAACTGCCGTAATGGAATCGAAAGATCATGCGACGCAATTGGAGGCGCATTCTGCTGTGCAGAGGAAGGAAAATATGCCAAATGCTGTTATATACCAGGAGGAAAACGACGTGGAATGGGAAATGAGTCTTGGGCAATGGTAGATGGCCGCGTCTATGCGACATCACTTGGGAACTCGACGATGTATCCTTTGAAGGGAACTCCCCAATCCAAATATGATCATGATCGCTGGTATCTGGCGCTCAGCAGAGGGGCCAGTTTCAACCCGGACGCGGTACCACAACTTGAGGATCCGGGGTATCTGTCGTTCAGCTCGGTAAACTCTAGTACAGACCTGGGCACGACATCGACCGCTTCAAGCACCGGCTCGACCTCGGCGACTGTCACGACCACGGACAGCTCAAGTTCTTCGTCCACCTCCTCTTCATCCACCTCCTCTTCATCCACCTCCTCTCCATCCACCTCCTCTTCATCCAATGACACTGCTCAAACAACCAGCAACTCACTACTAGACGATATCAAGCACATTGGCAGTGAAGTCGTGGGGATCGTCAAGGATGTCGCAGACAACATCACCAGTTCGGAGCTGTAACCCAAAGCAAGCTAGATGAGTATGTATGTGTGAACATCAGCAGGTCTCCCTCCGCTGGCTGGACTCTCGAAGGACCAAGGAGGGACATGCATCAAGATTGTGCGACGCGGACTTAATAAGATGTGCAGGTCTTGGGAGTGGTTCTGCCGCCGGAATCACGTATTGATTTGGTACCTGTGCGCTTCAGTCATGGCGAGGATGAAGGGGTCTTATCTTTCTGTATGGCTGTACGGGAGTAGACGGTGCGGTGGGGTTTATGTAGCGATGCATAGGAAGAATGTCATTGGTATTGGTTTTCGATGCCTGTGAGGAAGTCCCCAGTCCCTTCTGAGCGCGAACCAGGATTGCCGTTGTAGGCATGCCGATAGGCTAAAGCTGCTTGACGTCAGCGGACTCAGCGCAACACTTCGGATTCACCGTCAGACAATACAGGTATTTTTGTCATGATGAAGGGAAAAGCATCGCCAGAAGCAGTCATGAAGACATGCAAGGAAAAGCCGCTGTTCTCCCGGAAGAGGTAGGAGCGACAGCGACACCTTGGCCCACCTGCATGAAGTCATCGTCCAGCACCAAGCAAACAGGATCCAACTTGGCCAGCCCGAAGCCACCAAACAAATAAATCTATCTACTCTCACCACTCGTTTCCAAAACATCAAAAATCCCAGCCAGTACCCAATCTCTCCAAAATGCCCAACGCCCTCGAAATCGCCCTAAAGAACGACTCCGACCTCCCCAACATCCACGCCTACATAACCGGCCTCGCAATCCAACAAAGCGGAAAACGCTGCCTCCTAAAATCCAACGGCAAAGACCTGTACTTCCCCTCCGAAGTCCAAGAAATCGGCACACCCCTCCAAGAAAACTGCGCAATCCCTCTCGGCCCCCCAGGAACCACCACACACATCACCATCCCGCAAATCGCCGGAGGAAGAATCTGGATCGCAGAAGGAGAGCTGAAATTCCTGCTCAACCCTGGAGGACCGGCATTGGTAGAACCCTCGGTGTTGAATCCTTCGGATCCCAATGCGGGAGTGAATTTCGGGTTTGCGGAGTTTACGTTGAATGATGAGCAGCTTTATGCGAATATTTCGTACGTGGATTTTGTCCCCAGGATTCCGATTGCGATTACGCTACAGCAGAGGTCTGGGGAGGTGCAGCATGTTGCTGGGATGGCGGCTGATGGGATAGATCGTATGGCTGAGAGTTTGAAGCAGCAGGCTGGGAAGGATGGGAGACCGTGGGATAAATTGGTTGTGGAGAGGGATGGGAGGGTTTTGAGGATTTTGAATGCTACGCATGGTGGTGCTGTGGGGGCGAGTTTTGATGGGTATTTTGAGCCGCTGGTTGAGGAGGTGTGGAGGAAGTATGGAAAGGATTGTAAATGTAGAGTCAACACTCAAGCTGGACCTGGTGTGCTGGAAGGGCATGTCAATCATGCTGGGAAGCTGAAGATTGGAGATGAGGAGTTTGACAAACCTTCTTCTGCGGATATTTTGGGTTGTAATTCTGGGCCTTTCACGACTGGACCTTCGCCGACAAGGAATGCTATTATTCCGAGGTTGGCGGCTGCGTTTGTCAGGTCGTCGATCATTGAGACTGAGGACCATCCGTCTCAGCCTTCGACATTCTACAATCGAGATCCTACGAACCATTACGCACGACTAGTGCATGAGCACAATGTCGATAAGAAGGGTTACGCGGTGAGCAAGGGCAACGTCGAGCTCGATATATCTCTGATGTGTCTGCTGACTCTGAAATTAGTTCGCGTACGATGATGTTCAGCCTGACGGCGGTGACGACCAGTCTGGAAAGGTCAATGCTGGTGACCCGGTCCTTTTCACAGTCACTGTAGGCGGCAAGAACGCACAGGCCGGTCAAGGAGGCGCTGCGGCACCTCATCCACAGCAGCTAGGAGGCTACCAAAGAGGGCCGCCTCCGCCGCCACCTGGAACAGATGGTCCGCAAGATCAAAACCAAGGTAGACACGGCCTTGGCGGCAAGCTGTTTGGATTTGCAAAAGACAAGGCAAAAGGCTTCATGCATCGGTAGAGCCGGTCCTGATTGATTTGCATGTGATGCCTCGATAGGTTTGTGTTTGGTGCACTACATTACGAAGAACCACAAAGGCCAGTGCCTGTCGGCTGACTCGCGTCTTCTGTAAAACATTTCCCTAAAAATCTGTGGTTCAACCAGGATGTCTCCGGTGTACTTTTTGCGAACTTGGCCCATTGGGGAAGCCGAGAGGTGCCACGGCAGTTGTTAGGGCGATCAATTCACAGCAAAGACGGATGAATTTGGGGTCTATCATAAAATGCCTCGTTCTGATCTCTTTCTGCGCGCAGTATGCGTGTCGAATGGCCTCGTGACGGCAGAAAAATCACGTCTCGTTCCCATGTATGGTGATGTGGCAGAAGTCAATGGAAGACACGCCAATAATCGCGTGGTTGCCAGCGCATACTGGCCAGAGCGCCAAACTAGAGTGTTCATGCAATGTCAACGGCGCCGAGACGGTTGTTCCACGTATTGAAAGGGCCTGCCTGCTTGCCAATGTCGGTGTTGGTGTCTTTCTAGCGATTTGGCAAAGGCAGAGCTGCAAACGGTTACTCTCGGACAATAAGTTTGGCCTTATGCAGGTCGATGAGTGACCGATTGGCTATGCTGGCTTGGTGTTTGGCCATTGGCAAAGAATCAAGCAGCAAAAATGCCCAAGTTTGCGGGCGAAGGAGAGTAGGACGAGTTCAAAGAGCTGGGTTAGTCAGCCAGGTAAGTCGTAGGACGTGTCAAGTGCGGTTCATCACCAGACGAGCAGTATCGTGTGCTCGCTCGCCGGCTGAAGAATCGCGGTACACAAGTACCCCTTGTTCCAGTGGTTGGCGGGGTGGTCACGGTCACGCTCGGCGCGGGTGAAGGGCCGAAAGTAGCGCTTTGTTTTGGTGGCAGGTGGCAGGGAACGTGAGGATGTCGACAGGGATGTGCTTGTTCGGCAACGTGCGTCACTGAGCTCTGAACGATGCCAGGTGCGTACAACTACATGTATGTAGTAGCTCCATCATGAACGCCTTCTGCCACAGAAACCCCTCCTCATCATAAAGGCGAACATTGCACAGCACCACTGTCTGACTGCCTGGCTGCCTGAACAACCATTCTACGCCTGTCGACGCCGACGCCGACACCGACATTCACCACATCGCCGACCCTGACCCCTCCTTCATCGACGCTGCTTGCCGCCGTACTGATCCCCTGCTGCAAGGTACCGCTCGCTCGAGCTTGAAACGGCCTTTCATGTGCCAAACGTCATTCCCTACACCACGCGCGCTGTCTTAAGCAGCCCAGCTTGCCAACCAGCAACACACTCTCGTCCTTCTCCATCTCCCAGCATCCACTTCAACATGGCACAGACTGCTCCTGCTCAGAGTCCACCTTCTTCGGCTCCTAAGAGGCCTAAGGGTAAGCTGCGCGCATCCCTGCCAGCCTTGTTGACCACACACTGCAGTGCAGCGAGACTGAAGCAAGGCTACAGGTATTCTCAAGAACTCGAACTCCTACCAGTACACGTCTCCCGATGCGCGCGTCAGCCCGACTTCTGAACAGACGCCGAGTTTCAGCAATCACGATGGCCAGACTGACGGCAGGCCGGCCATGCCTCCCCGTGAAATGTCCGAGAAAGAAATCACGCAGATGAACACGGAAGCAAATGCGGGCGGTCACCGTCACAACAGCAACAACCCGCGTGGCAGCATGAGCCGCCGACAATCTTCTCAGAATGGCGACGACCGCCACCCCCACCACGAGGGTGAGATGCGCCTAAAGTGGGACGAGGCTAATCTCTACGTGAATGAGAGCCAGATGGGCGGCAAGATGAAGATCGACGAGCCGAAAACGCCGTTTGCTAGAAACTACGACCCGGCCGAAGATGAGGAGGAGATCGAGAACATCAACGCCGAGGAGCTTGCGGTAGACGAACTCGACATGAACAAGGCAAGACCTCGAACCCGGAAAACATCTGGGTTTGGCGCACGTGAGAGTGAAATCCCGGACATTGACCTTGGTGAGCCAGAAATGGACCACCGAATTCGTCGTGATAGCGATGGCGAGCGCCGTGTGACTGTGGACAAGCAAGCGGACACTGATCCTGGACATCATGGTGAAGAGGACGAGTCTGACATGAGTCGTGAGGAACTTGCAAAACACCGCAAGTTTGAGGAGATGCGCAAGAAGCACTATGAGATGAAGAACATCAAGAACCTACTGGGGTCGGTATCGCCACTCACCTCAGTCCGTCAATGCTGACCTCTTGCAGCCATCCCGAGCAACTCGATGCGCTGGAAGACGACGATGAAGATATGCAATCGTGACGGATGACACGGCACTCATGACTTGACGAAAGCCGTTACTATTTGGCGAGGTAAACTGACCGCCAATGAAGCATTCAGCATAGGCGTTTAGAGAAGCATGACCTGGAGTAGGGATATGGAAGATTTGGCCAGCCTGTATACACAAACACCTTTCAGGCTTGGCGCTGCATGTAAGGCAAGGCGCTGGCAACGGAAGATTGGGTAGCACGAAATCTTTTCGGCACCATGACATGAACACACGATCCGAAAACAAACAACATGATTGATAGCTACGCTACGAACGAAGAAGGAATCTTACCACCAATAGGATATCATCGCGCGTACCGCGCATGCTCAGCAAATACCAATTTGGCCTTTTGCATGATCACCCTGGGATTACAGGAACATGTTATCATCTTCCTGAGTTTCTACAGGCTCGTTTACCTGCAGCATCGGTCGGCATAAGAAAGTGTATGCAGTCCGGGAAGGACTCAGCAGGCTGCACGACCCATGTCCATTACTTCACTGTGCTGAGGAATACTCTTATGCCGCGTCTAAGCAGTCCACGAGCACCTTTAATCCTAGTGTGGTACCGTTGTGGTATCTCAGAGCATGTCTGGCAGCTGTTCGCTTACGTGCAGCACATCTCGGCATGTGAACAGACAACCATGCGAAGAGGAAGTCCAATAATGAGAGCAGCAGAGAAATACCACTTGAAATCTTCTTCTCATTGGCAGCCGCAAGCTCCACGCTCCGCTATGCAATCTGGCATTCATTCCGCTTCTTCTTACAAACTAAACCTCGTCCTGACCTTCTCATCCCCAGCCTTCCACTTCCACTCCTGCCCACTCGCAAACTGTATCCCCTTATCAACCCTCCTCAACTTCATCGTAAACCTAGGCCCCAACTCCTGCAAACCCACCCGAATATCCTCCACCCCATCAACTTTCTTCCCATCAGCACCCTGTATACTCTTCTCCGTACTCTTCTTATCGCGAAACACATATCGATGTCTCCGGAGGAAAATGTAATCGCGTTGATTATGTAGCGTGACCACTTGTCGTCCCACGAGTTCCGGGCGCTGGGGGAATAGGGATTTGAATAAATGTGCGGCGAGGAGACCGAGGGGGGTGCGGAAGCCGTTCAGGATGAGTTCGGGGTAGTGGTTTGTGGGGTTGCCGTGGCCTGGGAGTTTGGAGCCTGGAGTCCAGTTTGAGATGGAGAAGTGGAACATGGGACCTTCGGGGAGGTGCACGATGTCTATGCCTTTGGGTCTTTTGAGGTCTTCGTTCAGGATTACGACGTGTGTGTAGCCGCGGTCTTCGTCGGAGGCGTATTTGCAGATTTCGCGGACGCTGTATTTGTAGGCGTGGGCGTGGGCTGTGCGGCGGATGTATTTGCTGTTTGGGAAGAGGGTTGTGAGGAGTTGGGCTTCGGTGTGGAGGGTGGAGTTTATGGATGTGGTTACGAGGACTTTTGGATCGCGTTGGTCGGGTTCGAAGAGGCGTGGGAAGCGTGCTTTCAAAGCCTCGGGCCGTGCTGTCATGTCGGTTGCTGTTGAAGGTGCTACGCTCGGTGCTTCGCTATATGCGCGGTCGGGCGGTAGATGTGATTCCTCTGCGTCCTCGTCTTCCTCCTCACGTTCGTTGTCAGACTCTGAGTCGAGCATACTGTCGTGATCATCATCCTCCGCGGCGGCTGCCCCGGGCTCTGTCTCCTCAACCTCGTCGTCTACCTCCTTCTCTTGCTCGGCGTCATCTACCACGCTCTCCAGCTTGCGTCGCTTCGGATCGATCATGTTGATCGCCTTCCCGAGCCCAACATCGTCCTCGTCGCCCGAGTCTATTTCATCCCACGTTCGCTTGTTGTCTATCGTCTGCGGTACATTCTTCGCCTGTCTTTGCGCTCGCAGGTGTGGGTTCTTATCCTCATGTCGCCGTCGCTTGAATCGATCGTCTCGTTTTGCGCTTTCCTTCGCCTTCTTGGTCTTCAGATGCTGCTCCTGCCTTTTCTGCTTATTCGCGATCTTTGTGGGGTTGAAGGAGCCCATCTTCGCTAACACAAGACGTTTCGCAAAACAGCGATCTTTGGTCCTACAAGATGCGATGGATGCAAAAAGTTCCAAAGACCCTTGTTCGCCAAGATTTCTAGCGTAAAGTCTGTGCTCGCGAAACTCACTCCCTGGAGACAAGCCAACGACACTTGGAAGAGTCACGCTCGCTTCTTCTCATCCACACAGACTGAAGCATACACCGCTTGCCTTGTCAATTCCGAATCCCGGGTTTGATCAAATCGCCGCCGACCTTGCCTCTGAAGATATTGACACCCGGCAGGCATTCTCTGACTCAAATCTCTCCTTATTGAATGCCCTGCAACGGGCTAAGAGTCACAGGCTTCAAATTCAGGCACTTCTCCAATCTTTCAACCAACTTCATTGCCGCGACCACATCTTCTGCCTGGCGAAACAGCGCTGAACAAAAAGCCGTTCCAGCTTGGAAGCAGTTCTCCACGACAAGCGGACTTCAAAGATTTCAAGTACCTGTACGCACTAGAAACACAGGAACAATATCAAACATGGCCAGCGAGTGCAAGACTTTAGCTGGCGGAGACTTTGATCGCACTGCCTTCGAATCACTCCTGCGACGGAAATGCTTCCTTTGGCAGTCCTTTGAGCCATATGGAGCCACCAAGGGTCTCTTCGACTATGGCCCGCCACTGGAGACGATCGAGGCAGAATTTGTCAACATCTGGAGAGACCATTTCATTCGTACCGAAAAGATGATGGCATTGAAGTGCTCAATGCTTACACCTTACAAGGTACTGGAGACCTCCGGCCACGTTGCCAAGTTCGCGGATTACATGTGCAAGGATCCAAAAACTGGCGAGATTCTGCGCTCAGACCATCTGATCAAGGATGTCATTGAGACGCGCTTGAAGGGCGACCGTGAAGCTCGTGGAGAGAAGATTGAGGAAGACGCCGAAGCTGAGGCAAAGAAGAAAAAGAAGAACAAAAATGTTGCCAAGACTGCTGTCAAACTTGACGATGCTGTCGTGAAAGAGTATGAGCACCTCCTCGCTACCCTCGACGACCAGACTGGGGAAGATATGGGCGCATTGATCAGAAAACATGACATACGTAATCCATCCTCCGGCAACCAGGTCGAAGATCCAGTCTCCGTCAACTTGATGTTCCAAACACAGATCGGCGCTTCTGGCAAGGAACCAGCATTCTTACGGCCAGAGACAGCCCAAGGTCAATTTCTTTCTTTCCAAAAGCTCCTCGAATACAGCGATGGCCAACTGCCATTCGCTTCCGCCTCGATCGGCTACTCTTTCCGCAACGAATTGTCCCCTCGATCCGGTTTGCTGCGTGTGCGAGAATTCTTGATGGCAGAAGTCGAGCATTTCGTTGATCCGCTGAGCGGCAAGAAGCACCCCAAGTTCGATTCAGTGCGAGATGTCAAGCTGCCACTGCTTGCTCGTGACGTGCAGCAAGCTGGCGGCTCCACTTCCACAGTGATGACTATTGGCGAGGCCGTTGACAAGAAGGTGGTTGATAACGAGACTCTTGGCTACTTCCTTGTCCGTATCATGCTTTTCATGGAGAGAATTGGTGTGGACATGAAGAAGCTGCGTTTCAGACAACACATGGCCAACGAAATGGCCCACTACGCCGCCGACTGCTGGGATTGCGAGCTGTTCAACTCCTACGGTTGGATTGAATGTGTTGGCTGCGCTGATCGCAGTGCTTACGATCTGAGCGTGCACGCAAAGGCCACTGGTGTCCCACTCGAAGTGCGCGAGAGATTAGATGAGCCAAAGAAGGTCGAGGAGTGGATTGCACAGCTTGACAAGAAGAAGTCCGGCCCCAAATTCAAGAAAGATGCTGGTAAAGTGCAAGCTGCTCTCGACAGCCTCAGCCAAGATTTGAAGGAGAAACTCAGCGTTAGCCTGCAGAAGGACGGAAAAGTCGAGGTTGATGTGCCCGATGTTGCGAACGGCAAGGTCGAGCTTGAGAGCGACATCGTCAAGATCGAGAAGGAGACACGGACGGAGACTATGCGCACTTACACGCCAAACGTCATCGAGCCCTCCTTCGGTATTGGACGTATACTGTACAGCTTGCTGGAGCACGTCTATTGGACCAGAGACGGTGACGAAGCGAGATCTGTGAGTACCACATGTCGTCCGAGAGAGAATGCATGCTGACTGTTGCCAGGTGATGTCATTCAAGCCTTCAATCGCACCTGTCAAGGTCCTGGTGGTTCCGCTTCAAAAGGACACCAAGTTCGCACCACTTTTGCGAGAGCTTGAGCAACGTCTTGATGATGCCGCGCTCTCTTTCAAGGTCGATCAGTCTGGTGTCAGTATCGGCAAGCGATACTCTCGCAACGACGAACTCGGAATCCCATTCGGCATCACTGTCGATTACGAGAGTTTGGAGGGCAAAGGCTTCACACTTCGCGATCGCGACTCGACGAAGCAAGTCCGCTCTAGCCTGGACGACATCATCGGCTCCATCAGCCAGGTCGTCGCTGGGAAAGCTACTTGGGCAGACATTCAGAAGAAGTTGCCGGCATTTGAGAGCAAGGGTGCCGATGAATAGATCACGCATCTGGCACGATCCTGGGAAAATGCTAGAAGTTGTATGACCGAGGGGACATGTGAGTGACCGCCTTGCCTCCCATGGATAGGCCCGGTCAAGGTATGCTCTATGCCAGCATATATAAAACCATTCAGTAAAATTCGAGCACTCCTTTTGGTTGCCAGACTCTTTCCGCAGGTCCTAAATCTCATTTTCCGCGTGTAACGGAAGGTAAATCAGTGCGGATCTGTGACAGCTGTTTTCACTTTCTCTTCTCCGGTTGGAATCCCTTCCGAGGGGAGCTAAGAACTGTACAACATCTGGCCGGCCTTTAATAATATAGATAGATTGTCATCCACCACATACACCTCTTTCACATCCCGCTCTCGTCTTCACGGCTTCCCATTGTCCCAGCCATCCTTGCGTACACAAGCCCAGCAGACGAATATAGGCAGGCATTCGGTGTACGGTCATCCTTCGTCGACTCCTTATCCGCCACTTTTTCTTCAGTTCATCTCTGCCCTTACATTCTGCTTCGACTCTTTCGCTTGCTTTACTTCCTGCGCACTCCAGCAAAATGAATGCATCAAGAGCATGGGTAGCTGGTATGCGCACAGAGGGCTTTTTCGCGCTAGGATGTACCTTGGTGGCAACCGGAGCATTCCAGACGCATGCTCGAGATCTCGCGCATTGTGTTTGGCGACATGGGGTGGTTCAAAGCACTGGTCGTGGAACATGTCCTCGATTCGCGCATAAATTCACCCCAGTCTGGATGCGATTATGCCACTGGCGCTCGCCATGCGAAGTTGAGGATCTGGACTCAAGATGTCCATGTGCGTGTGGGCGACGCATGAATCTGAAATCTCGCGGCATGATCTGGGCAAGGTATGGCGGTACTACACGATATATATTTTTCAGCCAGGTCTGGAACTGTGCAATATACTGGATAACTTACAAGTGTAGCTCACCAGTCTCATTTGACAGGCATTGCAAGCTGACCTCTGCTTCAGATATGCATCGCACACCATACTCTTGCGCTTGCTGAGCGGCGCATGCAAGACAGCACTCTATCGTGTGCAGAGCAGAATACAGCCGGATTCATGCAGCGGACAGATAGGGCCACGGCGATATTCAGCTTCAACACACTTGGACCAGGAAGATACAGGTCTGCGGCATCTCTCTCCAGGGAGCAGAGACAATCGCTACTCCACTGCCGAAGCACCTCGTCACTGTTCCGCAAGGAGACTCTTGCCGGAAGCTGGCCTCTTGGATGATTACATCGCGGCCGCATTGCCAGCATGTATCCCTTGTACATGTCGGAAGAATCCACGATCCGAAGTAGTGACGGTGGAGTGGAGACTAGCGTCATCGTGCGGTGAAGAATCCCATTGCTTGCGATAATTGATGTGAAGGCTTCCATTTCGAGCATATCAGACTGAACATCAGCTTTGGAAACAATCTCTTTCAGTTGCCAGGAAGGTGCGTCGATCAGTGCGTGCCCGACGAGCAGTATAGTCGGGAAGACCGCAAGAGCACGCACACAGCCGTTGTTCCGCATGTTGTAGCAGGCATCGTTATCGCGCTCAATGGCACGGTCTCTCCAATTCGATGGCTCGGTCTGCGCTCTTGGGCGCCGTCCTTGCCTGCATCCACAGTGATCAAGAAGCTCATGGTAGTCTTTTTGCAACTCTGAATAGCCATAATCAGAACATGGCATGTTTGCAGTCCTTCTCAGAGCTTCACGGCTATCTGCATTGAGCCAGTTAGGACCAAGCTGCAGACCTGATAGATCCGCGACTGTGTCGGAAACGTCTGAAGATGGTGTAGGAATTCGCATACCTACGTCAAGAGCATCATCATCATCATCTCTGGATTCGAAAAGGGGACGAGGTCCACTTTTGCTACCTAATGCGTACGTTAGCAATACAGCATCGAATCCACGGGGGGAAAGCTGGCTCACCATAGTTTGCTTGCAAAATACCGGGACTGCGAGCCATCCACCACATGAGCTCTTGATTAAGAGACGCGTCCCTGCAATTGAGTACCACCTCGGATTCTTCCATACTGGGCTCTACCTTTGTAGCCATGATAGAGCGAACGATCTCTTGAGCATTCTTCTGCACACACAGGATCTCTTTTCTCGGTCAGTCTGACCATCTTCGAAAACTTGAAAGGAAGATCGTAGAGAGCGGTGCGGTATCCCTCACGCTGTTGCTCGCGCAAGAATCCGCTCGAGCCTTCGGAAAATGGAGGTTCTGCCTTGGGCGTTGCAAGCGACTCTCCAGTGAGAAAACGGCGACGGTCACGGGGCCGTAATGATCACGGCTCGTACAATCCTCGCCAGACTCGCAGCGCTTAGAGACCAGGAAGACAAGCCGATTCTTGCCGCCAGCCAACTGCGCTTCCGGTATATGATTTGGGACACAGATGTGACGACAAGTTCTCCTTGCCAGTGGTTGTAGATCCAGTCCAAAGCATCAGTCATGCAGCGTTGGGTAGTGACCAGCAAGCTATGTTGCGCGTGGTTGCATATCTCATGTACCAGTCCTGCAAGATGAGCTGGCTGGCCGAAGTGAGATGGAAGAGTGCAGCCGCAAGAATGAGGTGGCAAAGAATTTCTGTTGAAGCATCGAGGTCGTGGTATCGGAAGAGAACGGCATGAGTGGTAGCCAGCCAGCAGAGTGTATCGTCCGCCAGGAGAGATCGGCCGATGGATAGAGGTACCACGACTTGGAGGCTATACATATTGTTCGCCTTCATCGTAAGGGTGTCGTCGAGCATTCGAGATCCATTGTCGTTCGGGAAAGAAACCATTCTTTGCAAGCTCCAGTGCAAACGCCAGCTGGTCCGCGCTGATACCTTCTCGACTGCGCCAGGAGATGATATCCTGTGCAATCTGCCCAACCGTCCCGCTGGACTTCGCAATCGTGGATACCAAGTCGATGGACCGCGCTGCGAGATCAAGTTGCATTGGGACCAACGTATCGCGAGACATGATCAGCCTGGCTCTGAGAGGGAATCACCGTGCATATATCGGCCTGCTCCATATCTCTAGGCTCGTGTGACTACACTATATAGCAGCAGGACAACACATCATGCAGCACGGCAACTGGGCGGCCTCTTCTGGGCCGTCGTGACGGTGACGGTTCAGCAGCGGAGAAAGGCTTGGCAGTCGACCGATCGTAGCTCGGCTTGCACTCTGGAGGAGGCCCATCGGGTGAAGTCCAGAATTAATATAGCGTACGTATTTCGATGCAAGTCAACAACCTCTTCTTCCGATTACTATGACTATCAGCGGCCGTCTCTTCTTGGTCCCATCACAACAGAATAACTCAGAGCACTACGCCAGCAAGCAAGCAGCAAAGCTCTCGTTAATACATCAAATCATGAATCGAACGAAGCAAGCAGGCAGGGCATAAAATAGACCAGCACAGCAACAAGCAGAAAAGCAGAATTTCCAAAACTGTCCTACATCCGTCTCTTCGCGAGGGGAAGTGAAAGCAGACGCCAGCTGAAGAAGCGCATGCTCCAGCTTCCTCGCTTTCCGAGCGATAATCCAAGACACGGGCGCAACATCAGAACACCTTCATTACTCCTCCACAATCCCCCCATATAGATGCCAATCTTGCTCCCTCGTTGTTGCGTGAAATGAAGAAAGAGCAAAAAAAAAACGCAAAAAGGCAGCCGTTCAATTATTACCCAGTAGCGCGCGAATGGTATCCTCCGTTTTCCCATGGTTGTCCACAATGCAAGTGGTGTGAGATGCAATACAGGAGTTCGTTGAATTCGTGGGTCATCGATGGCGCGCGAGCTCCTATGGTGGTCTTTCTTCTCTACTTTTGTTTTTGTCATTCTCATATCGGTCGTCCGATCATAAGTGTTTCGTTATTTCGACTTTCATTTGTCAGAGCGGCGTCGACATCTTGGACGTGTGTGCGTAGCTGTCGATTCGCTTGAAGATGCTAGTTCATGCTTCATTTGGTCGTAAGTCATGCTTCGTTTTTGATGAGTGGTATGATGTTGAGTGGATCGTTGACGAGTTGATATCTTCGAAGAAGCACGGGATGCTCCTAATGCTCGACGGTAATCTCCGCAGCGCTGCTCTGCTGGGACAACTCGTCACTATTGCGCTGCATATGGCCGTTTTGCCTGCGGGGGAATCCACTGCCTCGTTCCGGGAGTGGTCCGCGAGGTTGGCGCTCAGGTCCCCCTTGCATTGCGCTGCGGGATTGCGAGCGATCGTCATAGTTGGTGCTGAACGATCTGTTGCTTCCAATTGGGCCTGGGTTCTCACGGTCCCACGACGGGAATCCGCGGAGGCCTCGTGGGCTGCCGGCATAGCCAGGACCGCCAAGATTCATGTTGCCAAGCCCGTTGATAATACCATTTGGATCTGATGGCAAGCTGGATGTGGGAGTCATCAGTGTGGGTGTGTTCGACTGGGTGCTGTCTCTGCCGAATTCCTGGAATCGGGCGACATTGTTGCTAAGAGCGGCGGGAAAGCTTGCTGTCGATGGCACTGGCGAAGGAGTGTATGAGCGCAAATCTGCGAAGGATTTGGCAGATCGCAGCGGGTTATTGGGACCAAGACCACCAGCAGGCTCGTGATAGCCAGTGAGATAGCCTGATGCTTGGTGTCGAAGGTTGGATACGCCAGCTCCGTAGTAGTTGTCGCGGACATCACTGAAATCGGTGGTGGCAGCACGGTTCAGAGCTCGTCGCTGATCAGTCTGGAGGCCTTGGTTGTTTGGCATCGGCGGACTAAGACGAGGACGACCCTCCTTGTATACATGCACAGCTCGTCGATCGGCTTCGCCCTTGGACATGTGCCCCAGACCCATGTGATGTGCTAGAGTGTGCACAATACGTCGCTCCGGCGGGGAGAGGGTCGGGGCGAAGACCAAGAGGTCTCGCGCGGGATCCTCCTTGAAGAGGAGCAGCTTAGAGTAGTGTTGCAAGACCAGAGGGTCATTCAAGTCAACATCTGTGCTGATGCTTGGGTCGAATGATGAGCCTGGGAAGTTTGGACCGGGCATTTTGTGGTTTCGTGCGGACACTGGGGATGGCGAGCTGGCGTTGAGCACACGTGAAGACAGCGATGAGGCCGAGGCCTGTGTTTGAAGAGATTGTGGTGCCATGGGTCGGTGTTGCTCTTCCAATTGTCCCCTCCGCTCACGCTTCTCGCGCTCGATCCGTTCACGCTCAGCAGCTGGCAGCATCTTCTTGTACTCGACACGTAACTTTCGCCCATTAAGCTCGAAATGGTTCATGGCATCGATGACAGTCGCCGTCTCTTCTGGATTCGTGAAATTAGCAAACGCAAGACCTCGGAACACGCCGTTGTCGAAGTGATAGTTGAAGGCGTATGGCAGTGGCAGGCCCATCTCGGTCATGATGTGGACCAGCTGTTCCTTCTTGACGGCGAAGGGAATGTTCTTGATGACGATGGCAGTGGGAATGAGCTCCTCGTCCGGCTCGGAGATGTCCTGGTGGCCCATTCCTTGTCCCAGAGGCGGTAGTGCAGCGTAGGGGCTCATGTGCATTGGTTGCTGCTGATCCAGCCAAGCCTAGAGTATGTCAGTCAGCAGTCCCGCTGGACATGAAGATGGTATGCAACTTACAGAGGGCAGGCCAGAGCGGCCACCCCTCGAGGGAGGCTTTCGGAGACCCGAAGCACCACCCAAGCCGTTCAGCGTGTTATTCTGCGCAAACGCGGCGGTGTTCCACGACTGATTGCCCATGTCGTAAGCATTCGCGTAGCCACCCACGGTTGCGTTGCGCATGTCGTTGTAGCGATTTCCGCCGAAGTTGGCGGCTGCGTGGTCCTCTGCAGTGTAGAGGCCCGAGGGCAGATGAGCGTATGGTGGCTCGAACTGCGGCCGCGAGTTCTGGCGGTGCAGCGAGGTTTGTCGCTGCGCGGTGGGTGAGCGGTTCGCGGGGTTTTCGTAGTACATCTCGAAGTGTTGGCTGTTCATGATTGCCGTGGGGCGCGAGGAGTGCAACGCGGGCGCGGGCGCGGGCGCGGGCGTCGACGTCGCTGTTGTGGTCGTGGTGCGGTGAAAAAGCTCGATTCCGCGGCGTTGCTACGGCCTTGACCAGGGTGCCAAGAGCTTCGCAGCTATCCTGTCCTATACAATACAGCTTAACATGCAGCTTTCGCTACACGCAGGCAGTACACAGACACCGCTGCACGTCAGAGAGAGATGGCGGGCCGGGATGCAGCAGCGCGGGCGCCAGGCAGTCCAGATGGGGGGGGGGATTGTTATTCTAGATGACGAGATGGACGCAGGAAGCGGATGTTGGCGCCAGGCTTCGCGCGCAGTGAGCCAGAACTAGCTGCTGCTGCTGCTGCTTCGTGAGTCGTAATAATGTAGCCGGGACAAAGACGGTCGAAGAGTGTGGCACCGTTGTTGGTGCGGTGGAGTGCAGAGCAGTGCAGTGCAGAACGCGTAGAACTAGCTTGCAGCGCAAGTTGCAGGGGGAATCGAAGCAAATTCCCAGTCGTCTTTGTTGGGCTTCGCACAGAGGCGTCGTTGCTCGCGTTACACCGTGCCAGTGGCTGACTCGAACTCACTCGTGCTGGCACGGCGGACACTGTATGGGGATGTGAAGGAGAGACGCGGGTCAACGGGACAGGGCGAGGGCGAGGGCGAGGGAGAGGGAGAGGCTGCGCACGAGGGCATGAATGATGAAGAATGGTGGACGGAAGGGAAAAGGCACGTCGACCAAGTCGCGTATGTGAAAGATGAATCGGCCAGCGCACGCACGTCCCCAGGAGACAAGCAGGGTTCGTTCAGTGGAAAGGAGTAGCGGAAAGGGGCGCGGGCCTGGCGACGATATGTCGCTCAGACTCGCTGAGTCTCGCTCTGATTTTGAGCATCAAACTCTAATATGCACGTCGACGCATCCAAACGTCTGCCTACCAACGACCAACTTATGATACCACGTCTCAATTCTCCGATTCGGTCGCCGGCTCCTTAGACCACCCATGCCAATCGATTACTGCCATATCCCCTTCTTCCCTCGGCCTCACGTCTTCTCCACCTGAGCTACTACTGCTTCTCCTCTCGCTGCCACACGGCCACGGCCACGGCCACGGCCACTGCGAGCTAGCTGGCACGCTGCGCAGAATGTATGTGCCGCAGCTCTCTGCCCGCCCACTGCTAACCACCACTCCTGTGCGAAATCTGGGAGTCCATGCAGCAATTGACATGGATCAGCTGCTTGACTAGCAGATAGCGTATATGCAGCCTTTGCAGAACGAGCAGACTACGTACGGTATGTCTCAGGCCGCAGACCAATGCCATGCCGTGCTGTGCTTGTGTGGTCGTCCATCCGCACCGCTGGCTGCCTCCCGTTGCATCGCCATCGCCACCACGCTCACCCTCACCCTCACGCCTGCCTCACCCGTCCTCCTTGGCATCCCATCCCCTCCTCTCATCTCGCCGCTGATCACCCGCCCACAAGCGTGTCGGCCCGCTGTCTGAAGTATGAGCCTTTGATCTGCATCTCACCATGCCACGTTTTCATCTTCGTGCCGTGCTTCGCTTCAACATACGTATCATCATGACTCGCTTCGTCTGTACATACATCCTTCTTGCATCGAGTTAACGTTACCCGCCCGCCATGCAGGAGACTTCTCGCTTCCACACTTCCCGCACAGTGCAGCGCACATGCATAATAAGGCAGCAAGCAAGCAAGCAAGCAAGCAAGCAATGACGGCCGAGCTCGCTGCTGCTTGTCAGGCAGGACGCACAGAAGCCAACGATGTGGACGCCAGAACCAAATCGCGTCACACAGCGTTGCGAGACGTCCTGCGACCAAAACAACCTTGATGATTGATGATGACAAGGGTTCGTGTGCCAGCGACACAGGCCTACCTGCCTACGGAATCCGTAACCAAGACCTGGAAATGTTCAAACGACGCATTATTGATGATAAGAGCCGCCTTTGCACCAGGCTGAGCTTCGGAAGCAGTCGGCTCCCAGCATCGCAGAATAGTCCATTGCTCGAGCGTGCCGTGCACTTCGAACAACAAAAGCATGTCGAAGCTGCATTGCATACGACACACTACTTTCCCTTCCCGATGATTTACCATTGGGCTTCCGACGAAAATTCATGCCATGCCGTAATCACGCATCCAAAGCCCGTCAGGGGGAAAGAAATGTCCTCACAATATAAGCAATCAATCACCACAACCACCACCCTTCCTTCTTCTCATCAAGTCATCGAACAAAATATCTCAAGACTCTGAGACGAATAATAATAATAACAAAAAGGAAAAAAAGTAACCCTCGGTTCGGTTTCCAACAGCACTCAATCAATCAATCAACAAGGTTGCCTATACCCTCCACGAACCCCATCTGCTGGTTGGTTGCATGGCATCTGAAACCGATTTGAAACCGACCTTTCCGGGAAGCCAACACTTATTCTACCCCGACGTCATCTTCACTACTGTTGGAATCGGACAGCCCCAATAATAATCCTATGCATAGTTAAACGCTCCCAGGGTCGAGGTCAAGACCCACGAGGCTACTGTAGTCAAGACGGGGCCGGATTTTCGTCATCTTATAAGACGGACGGGTGTTGTTGTCGTTGTGGTGGTGAAGCAAACAAATACTAAGAAACCCACTCATCATCATCATCAGCAAAAGCACAACATCATCATCATCATCAACATCATCATCATCATCAGCGAAAGTTTCATCTCACAAAACTCGCTGCGGCTCGCGGGAAGTAAAAAGATTCCCACCACCACGGACATGCGCGGTTAACGAAGACATGGCAGAAAGTTGTATGGAAGAAGAAATGTCTGGCTTCCTCTTCCAGCGTATCAATGCATCGAAAAAAGGCCTGATTACCCGGTGACAAAATCTAGCAGCCGACTCCACTCATCGTGCCCGACGCGTTGGAACTCCACCCCTTCGCCGAAATAGCCAGCGTCGTTCCATGCCTTCATGGTGGGACCATCGTACGGACCATGTGCTTCTCCACCATCTCGACTGTCGCTCCACCGGTAGAAAAAAGCGGATTGGGATTCGCCGCCCTCTTCCTCTTGCCCGGAAGAGCCATGGCTCTTCCACTCCTCGCCAGTCTCACGTTTGTACTGTCGCATCAACAACTCGCGCTCAGCCTCATAGATTTCGTGTTGACCGCGCGAGTACAACGCGTCTGCTGCGCCCGTGATGGCATCAACCGCTTTCCTCCGAGCTTCCTCTTTAGGATCAGCATGTCCATGTCCATTACCCTTCGCCGTCTCAGCATCATCCCCATCCACATCCATCTTATCCTTCTGCAACTTCTTCAACTTCCACTTCGGCACCCTCTTCTCCGCCTGCATTTGCTTCCCCTTATTCAGCCTCTGCAGCGCCTCCAGCGGCGTCTCCCCAGTCTCCAACCGTGAAATAAGCGTATCCAACAAATCACACGTCAAAACCGCATCATCCTCCCTATCCTTCCGTCTCCTCTCCACCTCCCTCCTCTCCGCCGCCTCCTTCGCACGCTTCATATCCTTCCTACTCACCCCCTCCAACCAATTATCATTCCCCGCCTCAGGATCCACAGCCTTCCTCACAAAATTCCCACTCTCATCATACCTCCCCTCCTCCTCTTCAGCTTTCAAATTAAAAGCATCCAATCTCGGCGCATGCGTTTTTTTACTGCCGGCTCCTAATTCCCGCGCATCTTCGGCTTCGAATTCGGAGGGTAATTGATCTCTGACCTCCTCATCTCCAGAAGAAGATTCATCTTCTAACTCCTCTTCTTCCCCTTCCCTTTTCCCTTTCCCGCCTAATAATATACTCCCCGAAACCCTCCCCCCAGACCGACTATCCATAACCTGTCCTTCAATCCTCTTATGATCCAAAAATTTCACATCTTTCCTCTTCATATCCTCATCCACCTCCTCCTCCTCCTCATGAAAATCCGCAAACATATCCTCATCCTCATCCACCTCCTCCCTCTCCTTCTTCCCTCTCATCTTCCCCCTCCCCTTAAACCCCTCATTCTCAGAATCCGATTCATACCCATCAATATTAACCGCATTCCTCTTCGTCAATTTCCCAGATTTCCCAATGACGTCCGCATCCAGAATGAAATCTTCTTCGCGCGGGGTGGTGTCGTCGGCGGCCAAAGTGCTGGGGTTACGGTGGTCGAAACGAGGTTTTTTCGTTGTACTACTGCTGTCGTGGTGATTTGAGCGCGCGAATTCTTCGGCGGCGCGTTTGGGGCGCGCTGAGGAGGAGGAGGAGGGGAGTGGAGGCATTGTTGTTTTTGGTGATTGATTGATTGACTGTGCGGATGTGGTGTTTGTCGCGAGATTGCGAGAACAGCTCAATGCTTGAGTCAGGTGTGTGTTCCTGGAAGCTTGGGCTGAGCTGACATCATTGAGGCTTGGCAACGGCGAGCTACATGCATGTTTCATGTGATTGTCTTCCCACATCACTTTTATAGCGTCATTTTCAAGGCATCAGGCTGCGTAGAAAGCAAAATCTGCGTGATATAAGTGGTTGGATCTTGTGGAATTGTTTGCATTCTGGGCTCTTTGCTGTTGCGGTCTATATTCTGCTTTGTGCCACGCCCATCATTACCTACCTGTCGCCGGATCCTCAACCCTCGCGACTGATGCAGATTCCATAGCTCACTGTCATACAGCATACACGTCGGGCCTCCATGCCCGCCAAAGGCTGTGTTCGACACAGATTTTCGTTGGTGGGACACATGATAATCCTTTCGGTGGAGCATGTTGATCCGCGCATCCGCTTGATGCTAGTGAGTAGGGTGTGCGAGCGTCGTTTATTCTTCGTCGTGCCAAGTGATGGACGCTGTAACACTGCCGTGGTCTCCAATGATCGGAGTCTTCCGCACACCAACGTCTCTCGCCAGGGACCAATCGTGTGGCGAGCTTTCGCTACACCGAAGCCACATGACACGCACATGTATCTTGTGTCGCACGTCTTGATCCGCAGCATTGCCAAAAGCAGGTTTTGGGTGGTTCGCTCTGATTGCTAAAGGGATCAAGTCGCTGTCCAGATGCCCAATGATTGATAAGCATTCCTCACTGCAACCAACACTTCTGTCCGTGATATCGATGCCCACTGTGTGCTCATACCCGTGTTTCCATTGTTCAACCATTATTTCGAGAAGACCTGGGTCGAGAGGCTTCAGGTTCTTCGTGGAGATCCGTTCGCAAGGCAGCCTCCAAGTCCAGAACACCGCTGCCTCTTGATTCCGAATCCGCGTTTGGCCGTTTCGACCAGTCGAGAGCGATGGAGTCAACAGGCTGCATGCTGTCTTGATGCTCGGCTCGCTCCATCTTCTTCTTTCGTGCCTGTTCAACATCTACAAATTCCCCTCTGAGGCCGTCAGACAAGACACTGCGGATGCGGTCGAGCTTGTATTCCTTCAATCGATCAAGGGCCGTCTTGAAGTCGTCGAGCACGATCATGTCGGTGAGACATTTGAACTTGGCTAGTCAGCGGGGTATCTTTCCAAAGGTGCTTCTTTGACACGTACGACGAAGGAGAGCTTCCAAAAAGGATTGATGCCATCGGGTAGACCAGACTCTGGAAGGGCATGGGTGACGGCGAGTATGTCGACGATGATGAAACAAATGCTGAGGATCATGGATGCCATTAAAACACCAAATCGTGGGGAGACCCGGACAAGCTCCAAGTAGCCGAACTCATATCGACTCTTGATGTTCCAGAACAGATTCCAGGTTGTGAAGATCCACCAGGGGTCTCGGAAGAGAGCTTCGTAGGGTCTCGTGGTAGTGAAGAGCCTGCTCTTGCCGCTGAAGTACAGCTAGTGAGGTCAGCGTGCAAGCATCCTTCACGAGCTTCTTTCATTTCGGTGCCACTTACGAAATTTGCGACAATCTCGAGAAGCCAATATGGCTGGACAAGGATGACAGTGCCGATGTAGAACAGGCTGGCCTTCTTGCCGAGAAACGGTTTGTTTTTAATCCAGGCAATGACATTGTGTAGACTCCAGCTGGCATTGAGGAAGATTGCGGTCGCGCTGTGGAAACATCAGCGACATGCGATGCTTCGTTGTTCCGTTGGTGAAGCGTCTCACCTGAGATACCAGTTGTAGACGGGAGGATCTGCGCGCGTGTCAGAGGGCGCTCAGGCGGCAAATGCAAGGCATGAACGTTATATTATTGCGCACTGGTGAATATAAAGGTTCCATGCAATGTTCCAAGTAGCAACTGTTGAGCGTCAGGCACTGCAAGGAACAGCGGTCACCAGTCTCATGTGACAATTAGCGATGCATACCTCCAAGACAATCAATTTGTGCAGCAAGACATGCCTCCTCATGTTGGCGAACGCAACGCATGCCATGATGATCAGAGAACCACACATGTAGCCTTGGGCCCATGCTTCAATGGTGAGGCCGGAAGCATCGTGCGGCTTGGCGACATCGAAGGTCATCTTGGCCGACAGAAGGACGGCTCGAAAATGAGCAGTTGAGGCTTGGCTGGAGAGGCGGTCGGGCGACGGGTGACGGTGACAGGGAATGTACGTGGCAGCGATGGCCCATGGCCGAAGGGCTTGTCGGTGATTGCGCTGTTTCCAGCGTTCCCGCGGTGCTCCTGCAGATTAATGATATTGTTCGAGGTGATGAGTTTGCCGCACAGGGAAAATGGAAGGTGAGGGCAAGCCATGTGGACGAGGATGATGATGATGATGATGATGGGGTTTAGCTTGGTGGGTAAGAGGGACGGCGGACGGCGGACAGCGGCAAAAGACTGCTTGGCGAAGAAGATGCGTCGATGTGTGGGGGAATACGGAGTACATAGAATACAACATGCGGCAGAAGGCGGGGCGGAGCTGGTCGGCGACTCGGCGCACACGGCTCTCCATCGCTCGCTCGCGTCGCTTGCATGTCTCATGTCTGGGGCTCCGCGTGGCACGTGCGCTCGAGCATTGAGGTCCCGCGGCCATAAATAGTTCTCAAGCAAGCAAGCGGCTTTTGGCTTTTGGCTTTTGGCTTTTGGCTTGTGGCGTTTGTTCTCCGGCAGGATTCTCGGCAGACATCCCTCGCATGCACGGTTCCTGACACACGCACCACTTCACGGCCTCATCCTGGCACCTGGAAGCCTTTTCGAATCTATCTTTAAGACCGGAGTCTGTCCGGATGGAAAAGAGGCATCGACGCACCGACATTTGGTGTATGGCCTGGGCGTTGTAGAACTATCAATGAATGGTACCCGGTCGTCAGGATGTGCCGGAAAGCTGGCATGCACGACGGAGGCGCTCTCGATGTGCTCGTGTGGTGAATTGTCCAGGCACAAATCCCTTCGAACCGATGCCGTACTTCTATAGAAAGATCGGCACGGCAAGCCTCCAAGCTTCCTTGCACGCGCGAACAAGGTGTGTTGCGCCATTCAGACCGGTTATGGGCCATGGCTAACACCAGCACCTCACCTGGAGAATGCCTGCCCACATTCCACACCACGTCAATGTGCATAGAATACAAACGAGCACGCGATCGCTCGCTGGCTTGATCTGCTGCGCGGCGCCGCGCGGCGCAATGCTCTGCGCAGCTGCACGCCGCACGCCGCACGCCGAACACCGCTTCACCTGGAATGTGCACTTGAACCCATTCGACATGCAATATTCCCCGACCCGCATGATCCTCCGGCATACCTCCGGGATATGGCTGTCCCTCCAAAGGTAAATGAACCCATCTCATTGGCATCGTGATAATTTGGCTCTTAGAGTTAGTTGGCCGCTGTGACGTGCACTACCACCCCCGAACCGACGTCTATGCTCCACGCCTATGTCGTCCCGCCCTCCACCAACGTGGGTCAACATGAACTCGACACTACACCTCCAATCCCCCATCACCGCCCTTTTCCTGCTCAAAATGCTGTGCCTCGAGCGCTGAGAGCTGCCTGCGCGTGCTCCACACTTCTCAGCACCTGGCCTTGACTAAAAGTGCTGCGCTCTGCTCGCTGTTGCAACCTCTTCATCCACTCCTCAACATGCTTGGCAAATGGACACACGGCCTGTTGACAGGTCTTTGCCTTCAATCAGCATATGCTTCTCCACTGCTGAGAAGAGACACTTCCGAATCACAGACGCTGTTCAAACGATCCACCGTTTCGGGTCCTCATATGAATGCCGCCAATTTTCCAGGTCCGTCGTGCCCAGCAATCATGTTTCCCTCCACTAATCACCCTCACAGATCCTGCTATCATCCACACCGACAGATGGTACGCTTTCGCAACAAGGACCATTGGAAGCAGCATACACGTACAGGTCGCCACCTCATGGGACTTTAATTCGTGGTCACTGGAGTACAACAGCGACGGCTCGCAATATAACGCACTTCCCAATCTACCGGCGTGGGCCATTGCCCATGCGCCAAACACCTGGGCCCCGGATGTAAACCAGCTAGACGACGGTACCTTTATCATGTACTACAGTGCATCGACCAAAGCCGACTCCTCGAAGCATTGCGTCGGCGCGGCAACGAGTCGAACTGTCAGAGGGCCATACATCCCTACTAGCTCAGAGCCCTTGTTTTGTCCGCTCTCTGAAGGCGGCGGTAAGAATCCCCAAACGGCAACGCGACTCCGCATCCTGGAATATCTACTGATCTTTCCGTCTCCTAGCAATCGATGCCTCGGGATACAACGACGACGGACAGCGCTACATAGTATACAAAATTGATGGAAACAGTCTTGGCCACGGCGGGCCATGTGGCAACACTGTGGAGCCTCTGGTGGCAACGCCTATAATCTTGCAGCCTGTGGCGTCCGATGGCCACACCTTGACTGGATCACCCACGAAGCTTCTCGATCATCAAGGAATCAGCGACGATGGCATTCTGGAAGCTCCCGTGGTGGTCAAAAAGAACGGCATTTACTTTTTGCTGTTCAGCTCAGGTTGTTTCACGTCGACGAATTACAACGTCGACTACGCCACCGCTCCTTCGATATTCGGGCCATATACAAGAGCGGCACGCCCGCTGCTTTCCACTGGCGACCACGGTCTGAGTGGACCTGGCGGCGCGGACGTCTCGAAAGATCTGAAGTTCATGGTGTTCCATGCCAACTCTGCTGGCGGTCGAGCACTGTACACGGCCATGCTCACGGTCAGCGGGAAAACGCTCTCAGTCGCGTAGGTTTGGGCACGGATGATGCACTGGAGAACGGCACTCACGATAGCAAGGACGAGGATAGACGGAGCTTAAGCTAGACATGACTTTAGATACCCTAATGACCGCATATAATCAGCTTATGACAACCTCAAGAAGCGCTCCCCTACGCTCTTCCTTCACCATTTGAATTGCTTGACGCAACGCTTCTTCCAACTCTCCTGCCTTCGCCACCTTAGTACCCCACAGACTACCATTCGAGGCAGCCACCGCAACGCCGACGTAGTCAGGACTATCGTCGGTCAAATCAATTCCAAGTTCGTCATCTGAAGCCGCAGCCGCCAAGCCTTGGGGATGCACATCCTGAATTCCAATCCTCGTAGCCTTCCAGCCTCCGTTATTCAAGACGATACTGAGAAAGGGCGTACACAAACGCTTCTGGGCCCAATGCACAGCGGTGGGCACTCCAAAGACGAACGCGCCATCTCCACTCACGCTGCAGATCAGGCTTGTCGAAGCTTCTCGATCTCGCGCCAGCTTCACTCCGATCGCAGCTCCGCCAGCCCAGCCAAGTCCACTGCCACCTTTGCCAAGCGACGTCCCGGGTGTCTCCAGTTGAAGCTGTTCCAGCAAAGCTGTGGTGTTGGTGACCGCGTCATGGACATAGACCGTATCTCGAGGGAGGATCCTTCGGAGGCTTGCTCCAAGATAAGCGATGCTGATTGCGCCTGTCCAGCTGGGTTGCGCCCGAGCTTCCAAAATTTCTAGTCTGTCCTTGTGCGCAGACTCCATCGAGGCCCATCGGTCGCGAAGCCGTGTGTGACCGTCTACGGTCAAAGACGCTTTCTGTGCCATCACATACTCCACGAGCTGACCCAGTGCTAGGTCACACTCAGCCAGATAAGTCGCTTCGGCGCCAATGTCGAACAACTGCATCTTCTCCTTTCTCGGATCGACATCGACATGGAAGATTTTCGTAGCAGTGCTCGGCTTGATGTGGGAAGGGATCCACGGCACATCGCAATCCAGAACAAGAATGCAGTCTGCTTCTCGAACCGCGGCGAAACCTCCCATGGATCGTGGAAGCCATGCTGGGTGATTGGCCGGGAAAGACATGTGTCGGGTTTCCGCGTCGAAAACCTTCAAGCCTACCGCGAGATTGCAAAGATCGATCAGCTGCTGCACCGCTGAAGTCTTACGCCCAAGGTATCCGGTAATCACCAGTGGTGCATCGGCTGTCAGCAGAGCCTGTCCCATCGCTTCCACAGCACCAGGAGGCAATCCGCCCATGACGCTCCCCCCAGTCGATTGATGGTGCGAAGTCGTAAGCATCGACACAGGTACCGGTGCCGCCAACACTTCCCGCGCCGCAGTCAAATACGTCGGTCCCTGCGATCCAGATCCCGCCATCATCAGAGCACGAAACACCAAACTCCTAACATGCTCCGCAACGCGAATCTCATTCGAGTACCGCACATAAGGCGCGACAATCGCCCCCTGATGGGGCACATCCTGCATCCATTGCACATGTTCCGACCTACAACCACCAGAGCGCCCGGGTCCATCAAGCGTATACGGGGCCAAACCGGCGAAAATCAACATCGGTGCTCGACCAGTCGAGGAATTGTGCAGACCTTGGCCCAGAGCGGCGGTTCCGACGTCGACGTGTACGAGGACGCATGGTGGGCTGCCTGTGCTTCGACCATAGCCGTCGGCGGCGGAGATTGCAACGAACTTTGATTGCCCGTCACGTCAGTTTGGTGAGTGAGTGAGAAGCCGTGATTGGGAGTGGGACGCGACGAACCTCGTGTTGGAAATGAAGCATTTTCGGCCATTCTTTGCCCTCCTGCTGGCGTCGCAAGTATGCTTCGATGATGCTGGGATGATCGGAGCCCAGAACCGCGAAAATGTAGTCTACATTTGCTTCTGCTAAGGCTTGGAGGAAGAGGTCCGCCACCACGGGTTTCTTGTTTGTCTTGCTCGACGACTTGGATGACATGTTTGATATACTTGTCACTTTTCGAAGGAGCGAGGGTTTCCAGGACATGATGGTTCTTGGGGGGGTGTGTGTGTGTGTGTGGATCGATGCGATGCTCTTCACGAAGGCGACGGCATATCGTATACCGTTACTGACCACGAGGTTTCCATCACCTGTCGGCTTCACAAACAAACAAACAATGTGAAATGCGAGTCCACGTCAGCGCATGACCTTTTTCGAGACATTTGCACTGATCAGTCGCTCAACTTCCACTTCCACCACTTCAGACAGCATACAACAAACCCCGACATCTCAACCACAAGACATCCAACCCACCACCACCATCAAATCAACATGACGCCGTCCACCCCGAACCTCGACACCCACATCCTCCACAAACTCGACAAAACCCTCCTCCCCCTCCTCTGGCTCCTCTTCACCATCTCCTTCGCCGACCGAACCGCAATCGGCAACGCCAAAATCCAAGGAATGTCGCACGACCTCATCCTCACCGGAAACCGCTACAACCTCGCCGTCATGACCTTCACCCTCGCCTACGTCCTCTTCGCAATCCCCTCCAACCTCCTCTTCCGCAAACTCGGTCCCCAAACATTACCGGCGATGATGATCCTCTGGGGGATATGTGCTTTGGGACAAGGACTGGTGAAGACGTGGAGGGAGTTGGTGGTTTGTAGGTTTCTGCTGGGAACTTTTGAAGCGGGGTTTGTTCCGGGGGCGGCGTGCTTGATTGGGAGTTATTATAGGAAAGATGAGTTTTTGAAGAGGTATGCTGTGTTTTTCAGTGGGGCGATTTTTGCGGGGGCGTTTAATGGGTTTGTTTCTTATGCTTTGGCGAAGGCGGATGGGGTGGGAGGGATTGCTGGGTGGAGGTGGATTTTTTTGGTGAGTGAGGAGGGACTGGGATCTTGGGGATTTGGGGTTTTTGCTAATAATGGGATGGGTGATTCAGGTTGAAGGGATTTTGACTTGTGTTGTTGCTTTGCCGACGTTCTGGCTTATACCTGCGTTCCCGGAAGAGACGAAGATGTTTAAGGGGGAGGAGAAGGTGGCTCTTCTTGAGCGACTGCGGGAGGATGGTGGAAGTGAGCCTACGGAAGGCATGTGGACGCATGTTATGGAGGCGTTGCTTGATTGGAAGATCTGGCTTGCGTGAGTCGGTGAGCGTCCTCTCTCGGGCATGGAAGGACTGACCTCTCAGCAGAACGTTGGCATACATCGGCGTCGAAGAGAATGTGGCGTCCGTCGTAGCATTCCTCCCATCGATTCTGAATGGTTTGGGCTTTACCTCCATCTCGGCTCAGGTCCATTCGATCCCGATCTACATGACGGCGTTTGCCATGACCTTGATCGTGGCCTACTTGAGCGAGCGACTGCGGCAAAGGTACTTCTTCGCCCTCTTTGGAGCCATCCTCAACCTCATTGGGCTCACGATCATGATCGCTCAGCCAGGATCTGCCAGCTTTAAGTACGCAGGTACGTTCCTGCTCACCGCTGGCTGTTATATTGCCATGCCCATCTTGGTGGTGTGGAACGCGATCAACGTCGGCAAAGGTAAGTGTGTCACAGGAGCAGGAGAGAGAAAACGCAGGCCGCTGACGTTTTCGAATAGGTTACAAGCGCGTTGTGTCGTTTGCGATGACAACAGCTATCGGGAATTGCGGCGCGTTCATCTCCTCGAATGTGTTCATCACTCACGAAGCACCTGGGTATCCGACCGGATTCAAGGTTGGCATGGGCATGAATTGCTTGGCGATTTTGTCCATGACCGTCCTATATGTGGTTCTGCTTTGGACTAATCGACGAAGGAAGATGGAAGGGTCTACGGATTTTGAGAGGGTTGGTTCGAATGAGCCCTTTTCTGATGACAGGGACAGACGCTTTCGGTACGAGTTGTAGTGTCTTCTTCATAGTCTGCAGGCCGCTGAGGGTGGACTTTTTCGATTGGGAATCACATTCGGACAATGCTGAGCGTAGAGGCCGTTGATAGATGCGCAAGTCGCTCAGAAGAAGTCCTGACAAAACAATGCTGCGTGAGAACCTGCTTCCGCGACCTGCTGTATCCGGTGGCCCTTCCAAATCCGACCCTATGACCCGCTTATTGCGTCTTCTTCTCGTCACTCCTCGTAGGAGCGCTACCTCCGAACAGCTTGAAGCAAATCCACGCAAATCCTACGAAGACCACGATGCTTGTGCCCAACGGTACCCATTCAGCCTTGGCGGGGTCCAAGAAAGGTACCGAAAGACGCTCTACCAGCACGCCGGCGGTAGGAGATGGCGGAACATGATAAAACATGGTCTTTGGACCAAAGAGACCATCGTAGCCCAAATTTACTCTGTCAAACGGGTTGGTGCTCATCTTCAGCCCTTCCTCGGCTTCGCAAGCCCAAAAGACTACAGGCCAAGACAGATCCACAGAGCCATCCTTATTCGTGTCAGATGATCCATTGACATAGCGGAGATGCATGGGTATGGTCACGGTCCAGTCATCAGTACTTGAGGCTTTTTGTTCTGGATGAGCTAGCTCCAGTAGAGCTGCAGATCCCCATTGTTTCAAGACCCAATTCGGTGCCTCGAGGTCTTGCTCACCGCTGAGGGCGCGCAATGAGACAAGATTGTTTGAGTCCATGAAGAGCTTATCGTCCAATTGGTAGCGGTCAATGAACAATGATGCTGGCAATGTAGCATAGGCGTGTAGTGCGCAATTGTCTTTTGGCGGTTGAAGATGCTGAGCCGGAAACTTGATGTCCAGCTTTGGATGGAGTCCTGTCGGTGCCTGAAAGGACACTTGATATGCCGTCAAATCATTGTCGGGCAGAGGGTGATGACGTGCTGGGAATCCAAACAGCGTTGCGCTTGGTTTGTCATCATCGCCCACGACAGTGAGATACCCACCGAGCTTCAATTCTTCCGGCTCATCTGGGGTCTCTGGCGCCAATATGCCAACCTCAAGCCTGTCCTCTGGCTTGATCTTGTGAGCCACGGCGTGTCCTGGGCGATTCTGGCCACTTGATGCAGATGACAGTGTCGTTATGGTAACAGCGTGAGTGATGACATCGTAATCGTAGTCGATATATGCCCTCGAACCTGCTTCGGCGATGAAATTGCATGTCTGACCGACTTCGGATCCGACTGGAAGTCCCGGGCAAAGATGAGCTCTTATGTGCTCTGATATGCTGGGGAGATGATGTGATCCATGAAAGAACTGGTACGTCGAAGCACTTGCGAAGCGTTCCGATCGGACTGGTGGCCTGCTGAAGGTTGCTTCTGAGGAAGCACATTGGATGTCTTCACTGACAATCTGCCGCAGGAACGAGCATAACGTGGTCTCTTGGCCCGGATGGCGAGGGGTAAAGAAGATGTGCAGACCAGACGGGACTCTTGAAACGGTCGGCACAAGCGCATGGTAGTTCTGGCGTGATGCTAGTCGAATGTGCAGCTCATGGAAATCTCCAAGGGTTGATTGCAGCTAAGGAAGGTGAGTGCGCGGTCACAATGGCGAATGGTATGTTGAGCGATGCAAACCTCCTTGGGCAGCTCTGAGAGGCCAACGGTGATGCGCGTCTCTTTGGCGGCCGCATGTGCTTCTGCAAACGACACGCGATCCTTCTCAAGCGTGATATCGGCCGGATTGACTCCTGCACCGCGCGCCAGAAGATACGTTACTCTCTGCCTCATCGTTGCCTTGTTGATGAAGGAAGGAAGCACGCCACGTCTCGTCTCGTCTCGAGGTGAATTGAAGTGTCTCGGCGCATGGGCCAACTTCACGCTGCACCCTTGATCACCAGACATCAACGCCAAGCCATTTGCCACACATCAAGAAATCAGTCAATCATTTCGAAGATAGTAGCCGTATATTTCCTGTTCTCCTACATTCATCATCTGCTGGTGGAGTTGACTTGGCACTTCGATCACCATGTCGGTGGAACATGTACACACCAAGAACGGTCTCATCGTTCTGTGCCACTGCCAAAGGCACGGCAAGGGCCGCAACAGCAAGACGCCGAAACATCCTGCTTGCGTGAATGAGGTGAAGTTAAAGGAGGTACTCAGAAATAGGAAGGAGCGAAGCGAGATAGCGAGGGGAGAAGGATATAAAGACCCCAACACATCCCACTTACCCATCCGCTAAAAACCGCCCACTCCGAATCATCCTGCTCTCATTGCAAAGCCTTATCATGCCACTACCACAAGGTACAATTGTGCCTCCAATCCTTCACGGACTGCACACAAGCTCGGGTAAGCTCCACCAAGCCCAGCGGGATTCGGCTCGAGAATGGCCTAGCTTGATGAAGGATGCAGGGAGCGAGCGATCTCGCTGCGAATTTGCCTGTTCAGCGCGGCGATTGGCGGGTCGCATTCGCAGACATTGAGCCGTAGACACGGGATGTAACGGGGCAACAGAGGGCAAAAGAACAATGAAAGCCGGCCTGATATTATTAAGGAGAATGTGATGAGGCGAAATGTGGATTTATCCGCAAAAGCAAGAAGCTGGACGTATTGTTTCGCAGGCAGAATGCAACCTACGCACGGGAATTCCTGCTGTTGGTTTGAACTGGATTTGCAGTCTGCTGGCCATGCCCAAGCGAATGTCCATCGAAGATAGGTGAGACGAGATCAGAGGACGGTTTGTTCGTCTTTGCGCGAGCCCACTGTCGTTGGAGTTGGACGAACTCCTTTCCTGTAGCGTTGCGATCTTGCACCGGATATATCTCAAAATCGTTGGTCCACTTTTGTGGCACCATGTCTCATTGCTGGATGATCTTAGATCGAGGCCAGGCGGAGAGCGTACGGCCGTGAAATGCTCCCTCCAGTTGCTATGCCAGTAGAATCTGATCGAGAAACATCAAGGTTGCTCAGTCTTTAGTCTTCGTCAAGAACTCAATCACAGCTGCGATGGCAGTTAGTATTCAAACCATGGCATGGCAAGTGAAATGCTCTGACAGACCTTGTCTAAACTCCTCAGGCTTCTCGCTGATGACCCAATGCCCGCAATTTATGCTCGCCAGCTCAAAATTGGGGAAGAATCTTCCGCACACTGGAAGCATATCGTCCGCAACGTAATGACTTTGTGTTCCTCTCACAATCAAGGTCGGACCTTCCCACCTCGCCTCATCAGGATCGTGGAATGGGAAGTCTCCTAGTCCATTCAGTGAAGGCGTCAGATACTTGAGAGGTACCTTGAATTTCTGGTGTCCTTCCTCATCCCGCATCAGATTCGTGAGCAAGAACTGTCTGATAGGCAGACTCTCCTCGTATTCTGATAGAATCTTGTCCGCATCTTTCAATGACTTGACCTTTGACTCCTCAATCTTCCGCATGCCCACGATGTACTTTGCAAAATCCGACTTCAGCGCAGCGTCGACCGGAGCGTTGTCCACTGGTATGAGCGATCCGATCTGGACCTGTTTCCGCAGTGCTACTGTCATCACTGTCTTTGCGCCCATGGAGTGGCCAATCAAGCAGCTGTCTTTGATCTTGTTCTCTCGGAGGAAGAGTTCGAGATCTTCTGCCAATGCGACATAATCGTGTCGAGGGTCGTGGGATGAATCGCCATGATTTCGTGTATCAACTGCGTAGATTGGTCGCTTCAAGTCGCGGACGAGCTGCCTGGAATACTGTCAGTATCGTGCTGCTATACCGAATGCTGACTGAGGTACTGCCATACTTACTTATGCTCCTGTGATTTCTCTTGGAGCCAAAGAGACCATGCACGAAGACAATAGGCGATCCCTGTGCTGACACGCCATTTTCAGGCTCATAGAGCTCGTATGCCATTTTGATGCCATTGCTGAGCTCAGACGTAGAGTATGGTCGTTTTGCATATTGCCGGAATGGCTGTTGTAGGCGAGGGAGAGCTCGACGGGTGAGCATTGGCTCCTCGATGCCCCGACTCTATTAACGTAGGCGTAGACGTAGGAACTTGAAAAAAAAAAGCACGTTCGTGTGTCAGATCCGCCAGACGACAATTTGCTCTGATGAATTCAATAGGTTTGGTTTGGTAGGGAGATGGTGCTTGTGCGAAGATTTGTCTATCTTCACTTGACAAAGTTCGCGACTGAAGAAGATTTCGACGTCAGCCTGCAGCACCGCTTCCCTCTTGACTTCCAAGTTCTGGCTCTACATACATGGATACATGTTCACGCGACTACTGTCTAGATCCGCCTTTAGAAGAAGTCCTCTCTTCCCTCGACAAACACTCCCAATCTCAAGAACTTTCGCCATGTTGCGCACATCTCCCAACATCATCATCACCGGCACACCAGGTGTAGGCAAGACGACCCACTGCGAAGAACTTGCCCAGCGTACCGGTCTCCACCACCTCTCCATAAATGAAGTCGTCAAGAAACATAACATCGGCGAGACCAGCAATGACCCGGACGATCCTAAAACCAAAATAGTCGACGAAGATCGCTTGCTAGACTGCATCGAAAACGACCTCGAAGAAGGCGGACAGATCATTGACTGGCATGCTTGCGATCTCTTCCCAGTTTCACTCATTGACCTCGTATGCGTGATACGATGCGATAACAAACTCCTCTACGATCGTCTCAAGGCTAGAGGTTATGGGGAGAAGAAGCTGGAAGAGAATATGGATTGCGAGATTATGGAGGTTTTGCTGCAAGAAGCGCGGGACGCCTATGATGAGCAGATTGTGGTTGAGATGAAGAGCGAGACCACGGAGGATGTGGATAGTAATGTGGAGAGGATCGAGAAGTGGATCGAGCAGTGGAGGATAGACAACGGGAAGGAGGAGGGAGATGTGAAGGCGCAAGAAGAGCAAAAGGATGAGGATAATCCGATGTTTTTGCATGGATGAGCGTGTGTCGGAGTTTGTTTTCAGGAAATGAGTTCTTCAATGTGAGCAGGACCATGAAGAGCATCGTCCTCTACGGACGAGGCTTCGTCTACAGCCCTGATCTCGACGACAAGACTCGCAACAAGCCCACGGATGTCGTCGTGATAGAAAGAGACGTCTGGATCAGGGACGACATCTACGCCTCCACCTCCTGATTCAACCACGCAATCAACTTCTGCAACGCCTTTCCACGATGCGAGATCAAATTCTTCTCCTCCTTCGGCATCTCAGCATAAGTCTGGCCCTCATACTCAAAACAGGCGTCCCAACCTAGAGCAAACCCCCAAAGTCAGAACCATTGGCAGTGATAGCAGGCTCGATCCAAAACTCACCAAAATCCGCAGGCCCCCTCGCCTCAACAATCCTCCCATTCGTCCTTCCCTGAAAGACAATCGGCTCCATCCCCGGTCCCTCACTATACGCAAAAGTACAAACCGCCTGCGCAGACTTATCTTCAAAACCCGCGAGTAAGAGATGAAATTTCTTGACGCCGAGGGCTTTGAGGAACCATTTCCTAGCGAAGCGTCAATCATAATCTTAGCTAGTAGATAGATAGCCTTGTCAATACTCAACTCACACATAAGGACCAGGCAACTCATCAAAAGCATCAAAACATAAGCATGTATCTTCTACAAGAACTGGTCCTTTGATCTGAAAACACGTCAATCATCGAAATTGCAATTCATGTCATTCATGGTTTTTCCTTTCCTTACCGCATCAGCTGCCCTCCTCGCCTTATCCTTGGAAATCTCTTCAATCGTGCCCTGAATTTCTACGAGCTCGACATTTTGACTTTGGAGTTGAACGGGAGTTTTTGAGAGAATGGCTTGGACTTCGGATAATTTGTTTGCGTTGCCTGTGATGAAATTGAGGGTTTTGGGTGCCATTTGTGGTGGTGTTGGATGTGGGCAGAAAGGTAAGGTAAAATTTGTGTGTGTTGTGACGTTGTGATGGTCCACAGAGTTGGGAGTGGCGGATCTCAGCTTTTGTGCTGTGCTTGCTATCCATAGATATATGGCAAAGTAGGTAGTGTTTTGGCACGGCCTGGCATGCAGACTCTCGATCACAGAAATGGGAGTGGAGAATGCAGATACGACTCGCTCTCATTGCTACCGTACCGGTGGCTGTAATGTTGCAAATGGTCACAGGAACTGTGCAGCTTCAACACCTCACGACTGGAGCAGCATACGAGCGTAAATGATTCAGATCATGACAACGTCGAGCTCATTTGGAACATTTCAACTGATTTTGCCTATGGCCTGCCGCAGAGCTATGAGGTCGCTTTCAAATGCTGCGCTCATTTCCATTTGCCCTGCTCACATAACGCCTGCCTTCTACTTGCAAAATGAGAACCGTGTCGCCCAATGCCATCATGTAATCCGTGACGCATGACTTATACGTTCTCCAGGACCTGCTCCTTGAACTCCCGGTTGCCCTCAACCTTGTTACCGGCATCATCAGTGCTAGACTCTCCGTGCAGCGACAAAAGGTTTCCGAGGTCGAACTTGGGCGACTTGAGGAGCTTGACCTTGCGGACGTGGACCTATGGTCACGTTAGCATTTTCCATCGTTATTTGGCACTTGTAACTACGTACGTTCTGGAGTGGGTAGATGCCCTGGGTGCTCTTCTCGATCTCGCGTCCGATAACCTCAGGGATGAGCTTGGTGGTGAGCTGGCTGAGAGTGCAGCTCTGGGCCTCGCGCTGCATGATGTCGGTCATCTTCTTACGGATCTGGCGGATTTGCGAAGACCGCGCGTATGTGGTCTTCTTGATCTGGTTCGGTCGTCGCTTGGTGAAGGCAATGCAGAACAGGCGGAGGAGGTAGTCATCGGTCGTCTTGACGACAACATTGGCCTCGATGAGGGACTGCCACTTGCGGACGAGCGAGCGCAGCTTGTCAGAGGTGAAGTCGAGCCCGTGGAAGTTGGTCAGGCAATTCTTGCCCTGGACCTCATCAACTCGCAGCTTGACCTTGCGGAATGCGTGGTCCTCGTCTTTCTGGAGATCGGCGAGGGAGACCTCGAAAATGCGGCCCTTGAGCGCATCGTTGGCGTTCTTGAGACCAGTGGTGCGGTTCACGAGCGTCTTGCCGACACTGCATTGTATGTCAGTCCTCCATCTCTCTTTCATCGTGCGTTTCTGCTCGGGGAATCGTACTCGCGAATGGCAAAGGTCGATGGGGCCTTGACGCTGAACCAGTCCTTTCTGTTCTTCAATTAGCCTCCCATTGCGCGGTGTCGTGTGCGATTGCGGCGATGTGTACAGACCTGGCGAAGGGATCGGTGCGCTTCTTCAAGCCCTTCTTGCCCTTGGACAATCTCTTGTTCTTGCCGACAGCCATGTTGGGTGTGTGTTGGCAAGGAGAAGAGTGCTGTGGAAGTTAGTACCTGCTGGGCTTGCAAGAGAAGTTCGCCTTGACGAGAAGTCGGCTTCGCCCACTCGATTTCGAAAAGTGTCTTGGCGGCAGGCACACGGCCACAAGTCCGCGCTTTGCCGACGGCCAAACAGTGCCACCACTTCATTTGCTGCCGCTTCACTTCTTCTAACCACTTCGAATTCCTTTCCATCTGAACACATTGCGCTTTTCAGCAACCATCTCCTCGTCTGTCATCCGCCGCAGCAAGACTTGGTATCGCTCGCGGAAAACCAGAATGTCGTTCCAGGAGGCATACTTTGCGGCGCCGCCGGTCTCGAGGTAAGCATCTTGACCACACGTGCGCAGGTGCACATTCTGATACTCACCAGAACTCTGACAGCCGCCGCCGTCCTAATATCCGTCCCGGGTCACCTTGGTCTCTATAGCCTCATGTGGGTTGTCTTCTTCAAGGACTATGTCTTCACCATCCGCCAGCTACCGCAAATATGGCGCTGCCTCACAGCATTCTTGGTGACCGGACCCTCGCTGGGTCTGATCATGGACCCATTCTTCCTCTACCACTACAGCACTCAGCTCGAGATCGGCTCGCCTCGGTTTAGTCGTCCTGGATCCTACGTGTTCTATTTGATGTTTGTTTCCCTGGTCATTTTGGTAAGCTCTGTCCTGCTATCACTGTCTTTCAAACTCTCCTTGTGTTGTTGCTATAACCTCGAATATCTGCCCGGCCAGCCTCTTCTAGCTGTCACGGTTCCTGGAATCGAGGAAGATTACCCCTGCACTGTGTTGCGTTCGTCATTCGCAAAATCATAAAGAGCGTTTACGGAGTGTGGGCATGGTGGGCTTCGGTATTGAGAAAACTGTCCTTCTTGATCTTGTGGAATGGCGGTGGTTGTTGAACCCTACATACCATCTCGAACATATGCTGTCAATCATTTTGGCGATTTGCATTGTTTCGAGTACTTTGCTGACGTGCAGCAGCTCACTGGTGGCTTCTACCTCGGTGGCGCAGTTTTGCTCAACGCCCTTAGTATGGCCATGATTTATACCGTTGCGCAAGAGGACCCGAACAGGCAGGTTCAATTCTTCATTGTACAAATGCCCGCCAAGTACTTGCCGTACGCCTCATTGGCCATCACCTACCTCATGGCAGGCCCATTTCAGTGCATGATTCAGGCTACTGGTATCTTGGCTGCTCATTTTTACGACTTCCTCGACCGCATCTGGCCTCAGTTCGGAGGTGGACAGCAGTTGATCCAGACACCGCAAATTCTCCAGAAGTGGTTTGCAACGCCTGGTGGAACGCAGCAGAGCCGCGCATACGGTACAGCGTTCGGCGCTCGTGCCGGTGCACAACCCCAGGCATCCACGCAGAATCGGTCAGGTAGCGGCAGCTCCTTCAGCAGTGGCTCCATCTGGGGAGGTTCTGGTCGGAGACTGGGAGGCGACTAAGCGAATTCAGAGTTTTGCATTGTGCTAAGCGTTTGAGAGCATACGAATGGAAATGACTATCGATGGACCTGCTCCAATCCATCTCACGATAACACCAACTTTGGCGCCTTCGCCCCAAGATGGTCTGCGAGGTACAAGAAGCTCTTGTCATCCAGTGTCAACATGCCTGGCCAGTTCGCCTGTGGTTCAAACACTTGAAACTTATCCGTCATGAAACTCATCACCAAATTCCCTCCAACATTAAAAGAAAGCGCGATGCACTTTTCTTTGGCGTTCAGCTTCGCATTTCACAGGTTGCACAATCACGTTTTTTTATGTCTTGTATGATGTGGTGATGATCGTGGAGGAAAGTTTTCAGTGTTCTCTCCAGCCGCATGCTACGGCGTCTTTCTCAAGACCGAATTCGTGGTACGAAAGTAGCACCAACAGGCTCAGCCTCCTCTTTCTGACCGAGTGACGTCTATCGTGAACACGATGAAATGTACACGAAAGCGGGAGAGAAGCCGGATACATGCATTGTAAAGGGAAGGAGTTGGAACAACCTCCAGTCAGGCGCTTCGTGATTTCCTTCATCGGATTACTGTATTCGATCATCCGATCAAGGCTGAGGATGCAAAGCAAACAGCTTGCCAGCTCCACAGTCGCAACCACGTACAAGGATCTGATGGGAGATACAGCTAGAGATGGAGGCAAGAGTGCCATTGATACCGACATGCCGTTCTCCTATGCTGAGTTACAATATTATCCTTAGCGATAGATACACAAAGGTATGACAATTACACATCTCCGTTGCATTAACGCTCTCTCCCACCTAAACTCACTCACACGCTCAAGCAACCCCAACCTTCTGAGAATTCGCAAGAGAATGGTCAAAATCGTAAAGAGGCTCCAGAGTAGCGCTCTTATTGAACATAACCCATCGCTTAAACCACCACGGCGCAGCCTTAGTCGTCTGGTATCGAATGAACTTACTACCCGGAACAGCAAAAATGTAATCCAGTTCCTCAAGAGTGCGTTGTTTCGTCTCGGGAACGAATAAGAAAATCATGAAGAAAGCTACGACATTGAGGCCTGCGTAGAAACCGAAAGCCCCGGTTGGCGTGAAAGCGGCTAAAATTGCTGGGAATGAGATCGAAAGTACGGCGGCCCAGAAGAGACAGGTAGCGACTGCCCAACCCATGCCGACTTCTCGGTGGGAGAGAGGGAAGACTTCAGCACTGTATGTGAATGGCACCGGTCCTTCGCCGGGAGAGTAGAAGGCGGCGAATAGGTAGATGAAGAGCGAAATCGCCCCCAGTCGACCAGACCCTTCTCCAGGAATCAAGAAGCAGAATCCTGCTGCAAGAAGTGTCCAGGCCATTTGAGGGAAGGTGAAAAGGAGAAGTGCTCTTCTTCCGAAGGTGTCGATGGTCCAGATGGCAGGCCAGGCGAAGACGAAGTTGACTAGACCGAATCCGAAGGATGCGATCAGAGCATCACGTTCGGTAGCATTGGCCTCGCGGAAAACAGTTGATGAGTACTAATATTATTGTCAGGATGGCCTAGAGATAGTTGCGTACTGCTTAGAGGCGACCTACGAATGCAATGATGTTGATTCCGCACATCTGCTGGGCAATCTATCCGAACTCTGTCAGTACTCCGACTACTTTGGAGCTTTTGGTGTAGTACATACCATGACGGTAAATGAAGCCAGCGTTGCCCTTCGAATTCGTGGAATCGTGAAGAGCTGAGCGAAGCGCGTGACATAATTGCTCTTGCCGACAATGCTTGCCTCGATTTGCAGCTGCGCATGGATATAGTACAAGTCACGCGCGGCCTGGAGAGGCTGGAATCGTAGCTTGAGAAGAGACTCGTACGCCTTACGATATCGGTTCTTCTTCATATACCATCTTGGGCTTTCGGGCTGGAAGCTGTTGTAAGTCTCATGCAGGCTTTCGGAGGGGGTTCGTGAAACTTACGCAGAAGTAGATACCAAGTACGAGTGGCACGGCTGGGATGAAAGCGGACCCAATCTGTAGTCGCCAGGCGATATCTCCGACTTGGTAGACAGCGAGGTTCGCGCAAAACCCGAGGAAGATACCGAAAGCCGTCCACATTTGCCTAAGCTCGGGTCAGTCAATCAATTTAGAGATGTGGTTCAAGCACTCTCCTACCAAGACATAACCAGAGCACCTCTAATCTTTGCTGGGGAGTTCTCCGCTGCAAAGATGGGCACAGAGGATCCTTTCAGACCCATTCCAATGCCCATGAGCAATCGAGTAATGAATAGTTCTTCCCAGGTCTGTGTGAGCGCTCCTCCAATCGGCGTGATCAAGCAGAAAATGGCAGAGATGAAGATTGTGCCTCTTCGTCCAAAGTAATAGTTGCAGGGATCAGACAGCCAGCAGCCGATGAAGGCCGATCCAATATACGGTCCAGCATTGACGACACCGACGAGCCAGCTGTCGCGCACTTGATTTGGAGCACCCTTGGTGTCGCCATTTCCGATGCCGAACTCCTGAGGAAAGCTCAAGTTTGCACCATTCGACCTAGAAATGATCAGTTGAGGAATAGCTCATAGACGCATTCGCGAGCTCTTACCCAGTTTGGTCCCATCCTTGCACGGCAGCACCGATTGAGCAGACGATAATGGTGATGTAGAGTTTGAGGGGGTGACTCCATTTGTGGGCAGCTTCGTAGCGCAGAAATTCCTTCTCGTGCTCATCTAGCGCTTCAAGATTTTCGAAGTTGCCTGGGTCTTGGGCAATAAGGGCGCCCTTTTTCAAAAGGTCGAGCTCGTCGGTCATGCCCTTCTCGGCGGCGAATGCCTCGACATCGGCCATGAGTGAAGCATATGGGATGCCAGCCAGAGGGTTCGAAATCCTGCATGGCGCATGATCAGATTGATGGAATTCGCGAGTTCGTTGCTGCATACTTCGCATCCAGATTGCTGTTCAGGTTGATCGATGTGACCACAGATGTTCTCCTGATGTCCTCTTCTGCCGCGACCCCAGCCTCTTTGCCATTTTCGTAAGTGACCGGCGGTCTCTTCTCATCGTCGAAGGACATGGCAATGTGTCCCCAGGTATCTTCCAAGCTTTTGCTTCGAACAAGCTCTTGAAGGCTTGAGCCAAAAGCTCTGCTGGGGCTGTGACAAGAGGAAGATAAGAAATCTTACGAAAAGGCGAAGAAACAAGCAAGTAGAAACGGGGTGCGCGGTACCACATAGCGTCCTTAAGACGGTCACCACGGCCCTGGGATGGCACATGCCAACCCAGAACTCCGCATCTGGCGAACCTTGGAATGCCTAGAATATGGGGAGAACAGCGGCAGAAACGGCGGTCGTGGCACAGCTTTACTATTCTAGGTGTGCCGCGTGGAAGCTCAGGCATACGGTATACCCGATCAGCCGCCTTACAGACAAGGTTGCCGCCAGGAAGCGATGAGGCCTCAGGCATAATACTGTGCTTTGCAGGAAGGTTGAGAATGCTAAGAGCCTGTCGTGTCTATAATCCAATCTTCAATATTGTAGCGCTTATTAGTATATAACCTTCTACATTAGCGGCCGCTATAATAAGTAAATTAGATAACGAGATATGTCTTCTAATATAGTTATCGTATCGTCGCAATCTCGGTAAAGGCGTTCTTAGCGCAGTCTCGTAACCTTCGTAGACTTTAGGTAGTAGCTTTAGGTATAAAATAAGGTAAAAGGTAGCGATTATAACGGCTCGTTCGTCGCTAGTAGTTCGATATAAGAGATAGCTATAGGTCTAGTCGCTCGTAGACTATCGATTGCCTAGCAAATTTGTTAGCAAAGTATAGAATCTTAAGCAATCGACTAGTCTTAGTACTCTTAGCTAGAACTACCGCCTAATTATTCGTAATTGCCGAATATATAACAGGACCTAGAGACACTCGATAAGCTCGCGGCGGCCCTTAATCTACTGCTAGTTATTAAGGTTAAAGTAGAAGGCAACTAGCGGTTTAATAATGCTAAGACACAGTGCCTTATAACTAGCGCTATCGATAGGTATAAGAACTATAGCGAGAGGGCCGATTCTAGCTTTAAGAAGGGACTGTTTATAGCGGTAGCAATAGTAGTAAACCTTATCGTTATATAGGCCTAGCGGAAGGCTCGTATTATAGCTACGTCTATAAAGAACAAGCTTACTGCCCTTAAAGCAGACTAGAAGATGTAGCATAAGATGCTAGCTTAATCTAGCTTCGGCATTAATCTAAATACTAGTTATCTAACCGCTCCGGACGATGTTATAAAGGCTTATATTGCTATCTATCCGAGGGCGAAGAAATTCCTAAAGAAGCCGCTTCTATTCTTAGTTGAACTAGACTAGTTGTTTAGCGATACAACTGCTACTAGAGAGTACGTTTTATCTATAGAAGCGATGCTTAATAGTCTAATTCCACCTCCTACGCTAGCAGTATCCGATCTAGCTATTACGGCAACCGAGAGTAAGGCGGATACGCCGAAGGACGATATCTATACTCGAAAGCGGGTAATCTATAATGCTAACGTTAAGGCTAAGCGTCGTCGATTAGAGTCTTAGAATCGGACATAGTAGTCTATCGATAATATCGTCGCGGCAATATATCGTATAGCGGAGATAATAGCAACACTACTACTACTAGTACGTACGCTATCGCGACTTGTATTCTCGGCGGAATTCGTCGCTAGATACGAGGAGCTTTAGGACCTAACTTTAAGGTAAAAGCGACTGCTATATCGCAAGATAACGACGGCGGAAGATAGCGGCATAGTTAATATCTTTCTCGGTGCGCCGTTAAACGCGCAATAGGCTATATCGATAGCGTTAGTTAAAGAGTTCTTTAAAGAGTTTGAATTATTGTCTTAAGCCTAGAAGTGTTAGATCTGTTAGCTATTCTCGAACATAGCTTTTTTTTAATATTATTGTATCGCTAGCTTTTAGTGCGGTTTTAGCAAGATCTAAGATTCTAATATAAAACCGAGTTTCGTAGCTAGAAGTTGTCTCTATAAAATTCTATACAAATAGTAGGAAGTCGAGTATTATATTATAGAAACGAGAAACTCTATACAAAACAGCTACATCTAAGTAACGACTAAGATTCTTAATATCCCTATCGAATATAAAGAAGCCCCTCCCTGTCTACGACTTCTGTAACTAAGCAGATATAGTCTCGTCTATATTATTATCTTCTTCTTCTAGGTATAGTTGATATTGTCGCTACATTTCTAGTGCTAGCGTATCCCTTATCCTATCTATCGGTCCTTTAACGCTATTATCTTCTTCTATAGTAGCGGCGGCATTATTAAAGGGCCTATCGTTAGTCTCGTCGGCCTCTAATTCGAAGTTCTCGTCTACCTTCGCGCCTATCTCTTAGAGGATATTATAAAGGGCGGCAGCAACGTATACTATAGCTATTTGCGAGCGGATATTATACTGCGGCGCGCTCTCGAAGATGCGAAATCGTCGTTTTAATATACCAAATGTCCGCTTAACTATATTTCGAAGGGAACTATAGCGGAGGTTAAATAGCTCCTTATAGTCCGCCGGCTTTATTAAGGCTAGGTACTGCTCGCGTAGGTAATACCGCACCCCTCTATATAGCACTATATAAGGCGCGTTATTTAGATAGCTAGCATTAGCGAGATAATATCGTCCTTCCGGCGCACTAAACCTATAGTACGAGCGAGCGTTGTTAAGTATACGGCCGTCGTAAGCGGAGCCCTCCTATCTAGCAAAAATAAAGGTAAACCTTATATTATAGTCTACGACCGCTAATACATTCTATAACAGCGTGCCCTTGCGATTACGGAATGCCGCTTGCTAGTTAACTAGTACGTGTGCTAATATATAAGAGCTATCTAGCGCACTAATAGCGTCCTTAAAGAAAGGCTAGTATTTCCGCCCCTTCGCCTTAACCGCTAGATTGTCGTCCGTAGTAGCTCGAGTAATAAGTGCTAGATACACCTCTAAGATAGCGGCTATAACCTTATAGATTATACGACTATACTTGTCTACTAAGTAGTAAAAGTCCTTAGCTAGGTCTCGAGTATAGCTGTTAGTCGCAAAGGTATATAAGAATATTAATACCTTCTATTCTTTGCTAATACTCCTTCTATGCCGCAGATATAGTAATATAAGCTAAAACAGGTATATAAACGCATCTAGATAGAAGCGCGTATACCTATACAATCTTCGTATAGCGCCTTCTTCTAATAGACTAGTAGTAACCGCCTCGCCTTTGCTATCTTCTAGATAGAGGGTACGCACTCTAGGCGGCTAATATACGGCTATCTGTTGCAGCAGTATCGCTAGTATTCCGAAGGTGAAGATAATGTTGCGCTTAACAATCGCCTAGCGGTCGAGAGCCTCTATTATTGCTAACAATTATAGTAAGAACCTCGACCTCTATATACTACTAAGAAACGAATACCGTACGAAGCGCTCCTACGCTCGAACCTTCGAAATACGCGCCTCCGCTACTATATACGCGTCGACTCGCGCTATTCTCGTTCTATATACTAACCTTAACCTTAATTACAACGTACGGTCCTTAATCCTATCGAAGAGCCCTTCGGAGGCTATATTTAATACTAAAAGCGCTACTCCGGTAGCCGCGGAGGTCTATATTCGATTAAGAAGATTGCACTTAGAAAGGGGCTATTAAATGGCCGTTAGACACAATATACGCCTCGTAATCCTATCGAGAATATTCAATAATATTGAATATTGTTAATATCGCTTAGATTATATGCTAGATTAGATTATAGACACGATAGGCCCTAAGACCTCTTGTTTTAAGCCTCGTAGAACACTAAGAATAGCCTTTCTGTACCTTCTATTACTATTATTATACCGCCTCTTTATAAACTAGCCTCTTAATATATATTACTATAGCTTATTACTACCTAAACTCGCTATTCTTATCGCTACGAAGATAGCAACCGATATTTAGCGCGTTTACGTCGACGTAATAGCGGAGCGCGCGTCGCGTTCTCGAAAGATGCCTTCGAAGGAGCTACTAGCGTATATAGAAGCGATTAAGCGGCACGAGTTACCTACTAAGAATAGTAAGAAAAAGAAGGCAGTCGGTAGAAAGTAGAAGAAGATAGCGTAGTAGGAGAAGTTTAATAATATAACCGCTTTTAAGGCTACGGCGTAGAAGGACTTCTAGGTTAATAATATCGCTACTACTATAGAAGAAGGTAATAACGGCGAGGTTAATATAGCTAGTCGAGTTAAGGGTAGCGAGTTAACGCGCTTAGCTAATAGTAATAGCTCGCTATTATAAAGGTAGGAAGGAAGGCGCCTAGTTAGTAGTTAATAGATAAATAAGGAAGATATATCTACGCTATCTTACGACCCTCGCGAGGACCTCTAGTATAAGCAAACCTAGCGCCTTCTTACTAGTAATAACGAGCTAGCCTTCGAGAACTACAATCGCAATAGCGCTAGTACTTAGTACGCTAAAGATACGTACTATTATTAGGGCTAAAGAGGCTATACGTAATTAGTATATAACTAGGCTAAGTAAAGCTAGGGTCTTAGTGCCTTAGGTAGGGCTTAGCGCTTAGTAATAGGCTAACTTGCCTACCTTCCTCCCTCTCCTCCTAGCTCCTTATCGAATACTACTTATACCTGCTACTATCCTATCCACCTACTAATATAACCCTTCTTATATAGTATTCGATCTATCCCCTAAGGGCAGCAGCTAGACAGTCCCCATTTTAAGCTTTTAGCGGTATAGCTACGGAAACTATCGATTTAACTATATTGCGCCCGAAGAACGGGACCTATACGTACTATTCTATTAAAAATAACTATACTAATTATTAAGCAAGGCCTTCTATATAGCCTATTATACTAAATTAATCGCACTAAGCCGATATCTACTAATTCCGCTATATCCGTATCTTAGGGGCCTATAATATATTATCGGCACTACCCCTTATTATAATAGCCGGCTTATTACGAAGTAATAACAACCGCGGCGCCGCTAGTAGCGCTAGCAACGATAACGCTAGTAGCACAGTGCCTACTAAAGTGCCTACTAAAGTGCCTCCTACTAAGGTACCTGCTAAAGAGCCTACTAGAGGGCCTACTAAAGAACCTGTAATCGAAGGGGATAACCTATCGTTG